CAAGACTACAGTCCAACTCTATTTACTATTGTTACAATCTTATGTGATTTCGAACGTAATTGGTATGATCCTAAAACGTAAGACGGCGCTGTTTATAGGCAATCGAAAGACATTCATTTGTAAATAAATTTTCGATAAAAAAATAAAAGGAAATAATATTATAATATTATAATCTACAATATCACTAATAACAATATTTTAATATTTATAAGTAGTTGTATATATGTCCAAGTGTAAAATTTAACGTTATGAACAGGAAGTAGTGAATTGTTTACTTAGTACTGCAATACCTAATTACTTATTGTGTATTAAATCAAAATTATGTTATACATCGGTTATTCTGTAGTATATGTTAATAATAGGCGATTAGTGGCAAACCAAATAATCTTTATTTGTCTTTCACTGTGATTTTAATACAGACATAGAGCGTCATAAAATAATTGTCAATCAATAATATTCTGCATAAGTTCAAATTTAATAACTTCCGAACAAAAAAGTTACAGCCATGCAATATTATTAATTTCTAAATTTTGAAAATTAACTACCAATAAGAGGTAAATATGTTAGGTTGGAAGAGACTCAATGGTTACGAGTTACAAAATTCGGGAGAATAGTTTTGTTGTATTGTTCTTTTAAACTTGAAAACCAATGTATCGTTTCTCTCGAAAAAAAACAATTTTTTTGTGAGAAAGAGATCGGGTGGATAAGTTTACATTTCTAATGATGATCGATATAATAGTAGACCTAAACCTTTTTATGCGGTAGGTTAAGCTTAAAGTTCTAACTTTCAAAAATTAAAAGGCACCGAGATTTTGGGCAAATGAAAAATTAAAGTGCTTATAAACAGCAAAAATAACATTAAAATATTTTCAAAATATGAAGCGTCTTATTAAATGCTTCGTGTTGTTTGATTATATAGGATACTAACTAAATAATTAATATTATTTAATGGGAATTTTTCGAAATACCTGATTATGTCTACATTTCATTATGTAATCGTTAAAAAATATTTTTACGACATTTCTGTATTTTTTTTTTCTGAATTAAAGAAAATATTAAAAAAAAATCTTGCATCGATTTTTCAATCTAGTAAAATATTAAAAATCTTATGAGTTATGTTATTCACTTTCAACTAAAAATAGTTTTTTGATTATGTGCTGTGAATCAATAGTATACAGAAAATTGAAATGTGGATAGTATTTTCAAAACAGTTTAACTTATAAAATATTGAATTGGGTTTTTATAACTAATAAAATATCTTATGTTATTTAAATTGAATTTGAACAACAAAATATAATTCATAATATTTGTTTAAAAAAACATAAAATGTTAAACAAACCACTTAGGATAGTCTTAAGATTTGAAAGCGAAATGCACTTATCGTAGCATTGTCTTAAAACAAATTCAAATAAAGATCACTTTACACTGGTTTCAATAAATTTTACGGTGGTAAAAAGAAACTTTGTAATCAAAATTCTTGAGATATTTTTGGTAAACATTTAAATAATCTTTTATTAAAAGATTTAGAATTTCAAACTAAAATTAGAATTGCTTTTATGTTTAGAATGAATGTTTAGTATATCAATGAACTTACATAAGAAATTTTCAAATTTAAAAGTTGAGAAAATTTTGAGTTTTAGGTCATTTTTTTACATATTAAAGCAACATTTTAGACAAAAATTGATAATATTATCTACATTCATCAATCATATTTTATTTCTAAATGATTTATACAAGTCGTATTTGACATTGTCTATAAACAATTTTGAAAACCTTTTTAAAAAAAACAAAACACAATATCACACGTTATGTAATATTGTTAAAACAAATAAATACATTTAAATATAAGACAGTTTATGAAACTTTGATCTTTTCACTAATGGTCTGTTAAACCTAAAGCATAATTTTTAATTGTAATGTAAAATTAAAATTTTAACTTGAACTGATATTATATTGTAAACTACTAATATTTTTTTTTCTAACTTATGCAATCAAACTCGTGCAATATACTTACTTCGTACCTGTATTTGATATTACTAGGCATTAATTCAATAAATAAAAATAGTGAACCGTCGCGGGACATCTGGTAAATGGGAAAAATCTATTTCGAAAATCTATTCATCAAAAAAACTATTTCTTATGGAAAATATGGATGAAAGGATGATTTATGAGGATGATTTTCTCGTATAATACGGAATTTTCGATGTGGCGTCGCGATGTAACCTCCGAAATAACAGATGACATTGAACGTGATTAAGTAGGCAACGTATTTACTCTTTCTGGTAACATGGTTAAAAATTAAGTGGTCAACAGCACTAATTAGTTTTGTTGACCACCTACTTTTTAGTTATAATGAGTTTCATTAAAATTATATTAGGGGAATGGGTTTCATCCCATGCATTTAAGGTACCATTTTCATTTTAATAATTCATAAGATATGAATATTACATATAAATTTAAATGATAATGAATATTTATTTTTAATTATATTTTATCTTGATATCTTTTTGGGTTAGGGAGCATTAATTAAATTATATTTAAAAACTATATACTTATATTACCTATATTTACTTATTAAAATATAATAATATATTATTCTATATTTATATATTATGTTCTGATTAGCAAAAGCCCACAGATTAGTGTTGTATATAAGAACTTGTACTATCTTATTTGTTATAAGTAGGCTTAGGGACTTATAGCTCTAAAAAATACACAAATATGCATGCAAATATGCTTCTAAAATCATTAAAATATGCATTATAATATGCATTTATATGCATTAAAAAAAAAATGACCACATAGTACACAAAATAAAACGTGTTCATCGGATGTAAATGTATCTATAAACTCCGAAACAAAACTTTGTAGTCGGCTACTCGTAGACTGTTGTACTTTCAGCATGACACAATGTTACGAAATACGAACGACGTTTTATGTATGATTCGACGTTGCGTGATTGCGAGACGCAAAAATAACGTGGGATAATAAATTATTATTATTAATAATCGACTGAACTGAACACTAAATAAATAATCTATTATTCTACATCAACTATTATCTTTATCGACATTCGGTTGATATCCAGATACGATCGGTACGGGTTTATAGTATTATTTATACTTACACAAAAATTATAACGAGATTGTGAGGTATTTTGCAGATAGCATACTACTGGAAGTATTAAGTACTAATTATTAAGTACATTTTTTTTCGATCGTTTGAAATATGTATCTATAGTTTTTAATTTTAAATTTAAAAAAATCGTCAAAATATGCAAAATAAGCATAAAAATTTTAAAATATGCACTATCCTGCAAAATGTATCAAATATCCAAAAATATGCACATTCAAATTTTAGATCTCATATCATGGCATCGAGAAACGAATTTATTTCGCACTCTGCTATATTTAACAATAATTAAAAAAAGTATGCAAATGCTAGAAGTCCCTAAGCCTAGTTATAATGTAATACTGGTAATACAGAATACTATATAGACAGTATATAGTATTCTGTACATTATACAGCATCCCTTTAACATTGACAAACATTTTCGTTATAGTGTTATATATATATATATATATGAGTATAGATACTATAAGAATTCAAATTTAATGGTATATAGGTAAATTAAAAATATATTCTGAAATTCATATAAATATAATATATTGATGATAAAAAATGAGTTTATTGATAATAGTTAATGTGAATATTAGAAAAACGCGCAACATTTGAAATGGGCCAATGAAAACTCGATATTAAAGACCCGCGCTATGGCGTCCTGGATTTCCTAAAACGTGAGCCACCGCATTTCAAATAAAAAATAAAATAAAAATACAGTCGAACCTCGATAACGCGAAAAACTTGACAACTCGAATTGTGTTTTATTCCTCTAGAAAATTCTTCCCCAATAAATTAGTTAGATATCTCGAATAATACATATCTTGAAGTGAATTTTTATCCCCCTTCAACTTCGAGTTATCGTGACTCGACTGTATATTTAATTTAAAACTAATATGCATGGAATACCCCCTCTCCCAAAAAAAAAAAAAAAAAACACATATACTACAACGCATATGAGTGACAATCGATGAATATTCATCATTATAAACCACCTGAATCGTACGCGCATCTAAGTTTTATTGTATTTACAAAATAATCAATAAATTACCAACACGTAATCGATCAGTTGTCAATGTTGCGTACAGTTTTATTTTAATACTATATTATACATCATGACTATAAAACAGACCGGAGAATGATTTCAGTTATAAAACAACAAATTGAACTTCACCCGTTGAATTATATATTTTATTCATTTTCTAAGTACGAAACACTATGTTTTATATGTTCTATATAACATATTTAAAAATTTTATACTTTTGCACTTGTTTTGTTTAATTTTTATTCATTGCGAGAAAATTAAAATAAAATGCGTTAAATTAAATTAATATACATAATATATCAAAAGAAAAAGAAAAAAAATACTCAAATCATCTATTTTGTTTATGCAACTTATGACGCATATAACATGTATGATTGATTGCTTTCATTGGTAATAATAAAAAAAAAAAAAAAAATATACCAATAAAAATATTCCATAGTTCATATTTTACGAAGAAGTATAAGACATATATTTACTACAAACTGTTTAAGGTTACTATAATATGTGACATGATTTTCTGGGCCCAACATGTTTTCAATAAGTAAAATGTTTTACAACTTAACAATCAAATTTCGAGCCGTTAAAATTCATCGCGGTTTTTAAACCCCGATGGATAAATAGCAGCGCCGATCAGATTTATATTTTGGTAATAACTCATTTATTACGATTAAGGAAAATAATACTAATACATTTCGGCGTATTAACAAACAGATATATGCGCGTACGTTAGGCATATGAAATGTTATCTATACTACGAGGTTGTCTAAAAAATTATTATCATGACCTCTTTGTTGGTTTTCAACTGATAGCGTTTGCCAAACCACAGCCGAATAAAATACTTAGTTAATCGGTGATTTATATCATAGTTTACACATTAAACGATACGTATGCGTTGACCAACGCTTGAGAAACTACCCACTGCCCACTACGCACTGCCCTCGCCGGATTCTTCACTGGTCGTTTGTGTTCACTATTGACGAATTCAAGGTAAGTGTTCAGAATAAATCCACGTGTAAAACGTAAACATCGATCTTATTTTTCTTGAAACGATTACTTTCTTCCGGCGGTATTTTTTCAATCTAATAAGAATAAGGTCGCATGAGCGTTTTATTGACGGACTTCGAACGCACGTTATTTTAACGAACGTTGTATTTCCAGTCACACACAGCTAGGGACAACGTCAATGTCCATCAACGTGGATGACGAGACGGTTGCGATTTTCGCTAATGCTGCTTTGAAAGTTATGAGCAAAAAAAAACAATGCAAAATAAAATGATGAGTGCGACCGCTAATACGTGTGAACGATTATTATACGGAGATTTTTAAAATTACCTCAAGATAAATTTGTTTCAAATTATTTGATGAATCAAAATCGTTGGTTAAGAAAAAAAATGTCCCGGATTTAAACCGATAATACAATCAAAACAACAGCAACTATCACACTGAAACTTAAATAATCACCAAAAAATTATTCGTATGTAGGATGTATCCTAAATGTGACCTAACAAAATTAAGTATTTACTAAGCCTTATATTATTATTATTACAGTAGAACCCCTCTCATCCGCCACGGCTAGTCCGCCACTGCGGTTGATCCGACCATAGTATTATCGATATGAATATGGATTTTCCAATTTATAGTAAATGACTAGATATATTTATGAAATTAATTGTCCGTTTCCTATTTATCTATTTTTTATTTATTTTATTATTTAATTATTTATTTAATTTAATATATGTATGTAATTAAAAATAATATTTAAAATGATTAAATAAATAAATTAAATAATTTGGTAACATTTTATCTTCAAATGTTTCTTTATATTCTGATGATCCAACCTTTTTCGCGTTCCGACCACAACCCTCAGTCACGAAGGTGACGGATTAGAAGGGTTCTACTGTAAAAAATAATTTTAATTAAAAATTTAGTTTTTTTTGAGGGGGTCCATGGTTATAGTTTATACTTGAAAAGAGTCTATAACCAAAAAAAGGTTAAGAACCTATGATTTAAAAAATCTTTATACACAACAGACGTTATGTTTGAACAAGCTTTATTTTTTTTTTTTTATTTTGATCTTTATAAAATTCATCGGATGTGTCCCACAATACTGGTCGTTTTCAATTTCAGTTTTTAATTGTTTAGCTTCCATATTTGTATTGGAAAATGTTTTTTTTTTTTTTTAAATGTACACTATCTCCTTCTACGAGTGAAAAATATCTACTATATGTAAAATGACGGACGTTGATTAAACGTTCGTCTGTATTTGTCTATTGAATCTAATATTATTCTATAACGCTGGTTAGGCAATTTATAACGGACGTTATAACATATTCGTCGTCAACAGTGAACGGTCTGTCAAACTAAAGGATGTCTTATATGTGACTGTTAGCTATAATTACAAATAATTTTAACTATTGACGTCGTAACATCCGTCAACAAGACGCTCGTGCGATCTTGCTCTAAAAGTGCATCGGTAGAATAAACATAACGTAACATTAAATAATATTTATCATAATAGTTTTATTATATTAGCACCAACAATAATCATCGAACACACATTGATTTCGTCAAGCAGAATGTATACTCGAACTAATTCTCATTCGTATTAAAAAAAACTACAAAAATACAATGAGTTAATAAAATTTGGAATAAATATCAAAAAAACTGCCTGAAACGCTTTCAAAGCACAAACTACGCGCGTACTGTTTTATGTAAATCGTATAAAAGGTCAAAGCTATCTATGTAATTTTAAAATAGATTTGACTCAGACGCATTCATGTTACCGCATGTTGTCGCGCATCCCCGGTACAATAGAAACCGGTACTGGTTGGATAACTGAACAGGAACGCCATTTCAGATTTTTTTTTTTTTAGGGTGCGCAAATTATTTAAGAAACTAATTCTTTCCCACTATCGGACCAATCGTTAAAAAAAGTGTTTCGTGTATTTTTACTATGGAATTTTACTATCTAAACCATTGTGGGGATACAGTGCCTAGTCCCATCATCACATATAACCAACCGTCACCTAATTTTGTATATTTTATAATTATTATTATAGTGTTGAATTATTTTATATATGATTCCTTTATGTTATAAAGTATGTAAACTCTGTCTATTCAAACGTCGACGGTTACGGCGATCGCTCTCGTCACCGATCCGTCGACCGGGTCTGACGCCCGATCGTTTTTTGTCTCCTGTACTTCTATCCTGTACTTTTACTTTTTATACCCACTCGTGCGACTTTTATACTTTTGTTCCGTCGAACTATTTTTTATTTTATTATAACTCTGTCGAGTGTCATTTAATGTGCTATGTTTTTTTTTATTTTAACTATATCGCTTTCACGTACCTTATTTTAACTACCCTTCCGTGGGTCAGTTTGATGAGTGGACAATCATGACCAACACACACACCAAAATATATTCACTGTGCACAGACCTTATCTACCGCTAAAAAAAATGTGGAAATCCATCGTGGAAAGAACCATTTACCATTAATAATAAGGTTATTAATTATAAACAATATGAATCAGAATTGTATATAAATATGCTCCATGATTTCAGAAATCAAATAGCTGAAGGCCAAGAGACCATAGTATTAATAAACTGAATTTCGTACTCTTTAAATTTGTCATTTTAGTTCTTCCGGCTGGACAATAGCGGAAAACAAACGTACAGGAACTTTGAATAGGTAACACTGCATGACGGATGCAGATTTTAAGTATACTGTACGTTAAAATTCAATAGAAATAATAATCATAATATTTAATAAATGAACTCGAAAAAAAAGGTCAGCGTATAAAATATTATAAAATGTTATCTTATTTTATGCAGTTCAAACAGATGGTAAAGTTATTCTCCATTCACGCAATGATTTTATGATACACAGTTGCGCCAAACTATTGTAAATATTGATAATGCCCGAGCGCAGCTACTAGATATTACTGTAATTGTTTGCATTCAATTTGATAAAATAGGTTTTTAATTATAAACACAACAATTGTTAATCATTTTTATTGTTTAGAACTTGTTTTCATCAAGTTGGATGCAAACGATTACAGAGACGTTCAGTTGTTGCGTCCATGTAGGCGCTATACATTTTTACAAAAGGTTGGCGTTTCTGTAAATTATATAATCAATCAAATAAAAGTAAAATTTTAAATTAACTTTTTTCAAATACAAAAAAACTCAATAATGATTTTTTACAAAAACACATGTATGGTTCCTATAAATGTGCATTTCGTTTTTTGCGACCAGTTTAAATTTTAATTATTGTTGTCGTAAAAATTATTTTAAATTACATTTTCTAGTCTAAAAAATGAAAATTGTGAATTCGTAACATAAAAACAGTCAATATTCATAGGTAACTATAATCAGTTAGGTTGAAGTCCAATATAAGTATTTTATAATACAGTATATAAAAAAATATATTTATATCATTCGTTAAAATTAATTAAATTAGAAAATATTAAACACAATTCTCTGATTCTCATTATATTTTTGTTTAATCAATATGATAAAACCATAATACTACAACAAATTACCCAGTACGGATACACCAAAACCTTATATTTAATAAAACATTTTAATAACTATATACTTCTTAATATTATTTGTAATCAAATTAAAAATAAATATTCACTAACGGCAAGAACATTTTGAGTACTTAGAATTTGATTATATATTTTCATTTTAATTTCAATTAAACATGGCAATTATAATATATTATACGTTAGACATTGTCTTAAGCCATGGGTTATGACGAATTAATACAAAAAAAAAACTGTTCATTTTCAAAATAATTCGTTAAATATAAATAAAAATAATTATTGATTAATTTAATTTTTAAAAAACAAAATATAGTAAGAAAAATGGGTTCTTATCTCTTTTTTGATTTTCCTTTGAACTCTATTTACAATTACTGGTATTGAATGTACTCTACTTCTATTATTTTTAAAAATATGTTTTAAAAATGTGAAGCTAACATCGTTAATTCGGTTTAAATGTATATACGTGTAAGGGACGAGCCAATATTTCCCGATTCGGCAGTAGCTTTTCTATTGTTATTCGGAAATAGTACTACAAGTTCTAACATTTACATGGAGGTGCACGATCAGTGCGGCTAGTAGTCAAAGGAATTCGTGAGTTAATAATAGTATCATGACATAGAAATATCGGAACCCTACCCTACTTGGACTTTCACCCGGACCACTCCGAATCTTACTCGGTTTTCGCGTTTGTCCGTTCATCAATCGGTATTAAACGTTCGTAGGAGTCCAAGAAAACTTTTCGCAATCTTGAACGCGGTAGGTATGCCGCACGTATTCTCATTCCTCGTTCGAACGTCGTTTAAATGTACAGACAAAAGTGTTCGATTGTCTACGACCGATTTCGAGATGCATTTGAACGTTTCTCCAGTCCTGGGCGGAGAAAAGGTTTAGGTCGATTTTTCGGAAAATATTATCTCCCTTTGGATCCGGAGCTCGACGTTCATTTCCGCCGATTTCGGTGAACTACTATACCTTATAAAATAAACGTCGAACGAATTGCAGTCGCTGGTGGCACGTCGTAACGGCATCGTGTTGTTCACAGATGCTGGGGCGCGCGGCGGCAACGGCGATGATGGCGGCGCTGTGGATCGGTTGTTGGTGCGGCGGTTGCCGGGCGTACCGGATCCTGGCGTACGAGCCGAGCGTCGGGCACAGCCACTGGAACGTGATGTCGGCCGTGCTGGAGAGCCTGGTGGACGCGGGCCACGTGGTGGTGTGCGCGACCGTGCACCCGGCCACCGGGCGTCTAGCCGGCCATCCGAACTACACGCACGTGGACATGGCGGCCGGGGTGCCGGAGCACGCGCACCGGACGGCCCGGGACCTGGACTACGCGCAGCTGATGTCACTGTTCCGGTCGAACGCGTTCCTCGTGCGGTCCGTCACCGACCTGACGCGGCGCATGTGCCGGCTGTTGTTCGAGATGCCGGGCACGCGGCGGTATCTGGTCGGCGGTGGCCGCGCGGGCCGATTCGACGCGGTCGTCGTGGAGTCGCTGCACTCGGAGTGCGGCGCCGCGCTGCCCCGGGCGCTGCGCGTGCCCGCCGTGTACGTGGTGCCGTGCCCGCCGGTCAGCTGGATGCCCGCGGCCACCGGGTCACCGGACAGCCCGTCGTACCTGGGCGCGTTGCTCGCCGACCGCCCGACGCCCGTCACGTTCCGGGACCGGCTGGCCAACGCGCTCGTTTACGTGCACACCCAGCTGGTGCGGCGGTACCACGACGCCGGCTCCTGGGTTCACGACACCGCCGTCCTGTCACCGTCCGCGTCAACAGGCGCCGTGGTGCTGATCAACACGCACCACTCGATCGAACCGGCCCGGTCGGCGGGGCCCAACGTCGTCGATATCGGTGGCATTCACCTGCGGCCCGCAGGACCGATACCCCGAGTAAGTAGTGCTAGGTCCGGTTCGTCGGCACGTTCGACGTTTCGACGAAAACGCAGAATTCTACACGTGGAGCTATTGAACAGAAACTAATTACTGACATAAATCACTAACCATAGACTATGATGTATATAGGAATTAATTTCGGGAGGGGGTTATGAAAAAATATATACTAAATGAAGGTTATAAATTAACTTATTTTTAATAACTATGAAAATTAGAATACATAAATTACAGGTCATATAAATAAATATAACATAAATTACAAAGTCTAATTTTCGAGGTAGATTTGCAAAATTATTTACCACTTCTTCAGTGTTTAGTGAAATACTTCGATGAATTGACATGAGATAATCCTGTTAGTCGATTTTCGCTTGTACTATTTCTCAAGCACGACTTCAATCTTTTCAATATCGAAAACGATCTTTCTGATGACGCTGTTGAGACTGGTAAAGTTACTAATATTGACATTAAGCACCATATATTTGGAAAAAAATCAACGGATAGTTTATTCAAAATATCAATAGCAGATTTGGATTTCTGACAAACCACGGAACATTTGCAACTATTCTGAGGACTTTGTTTTGGACAATTTGCATTTTTTTGATGTGCGAGGATGCACAATTACCCCATACCGAGCAAGCGTAGGTAAGAATTGGGCGTATAATTTGCTTAAAAATTAGGAGAGAGCATTTTTTTCCCATACTAGACAATTTGGTTTTAATTAATACATAGATTTAAGAAATGCACACGTGGGTCGTACTAACCATAAATTTCGGGGGAGGGGGGTTTGAACTCCCAAACCCCCCCTATATACGCCACTGACCATAGTCTATTCCAAATAAGTCTGGATAAAATCGCGCATGCAGGTCCGCTGTGAATGGCTCGGATTCGATATGCGTCGTGATCGGTCGACGGCCGGAACTCGCCTCCGGGTATATGGAGTGTATACGCGAAGTACGTTGTCAATAGGTCGTAGGCAAGCGAAGTGGTGATGGTTTAGAAACTACAGTCAGCCTGTATACAACCGAATCGTCGAAAACAGCGCTCGCCATCGGCAAATCACGTGACATACCTGCGCGAAACCGGACGCATTTTTGTCGTACATTTTTCCAGACTTATTTGGAATAGACTATAGTCTACGTTAGAGTTGCGCGTTACTTCGATATTTTGTTGCCCGACGGAGCTTTTTCTGTTTTTGTAGGAACATTTGTAGAAAAAACGAACGAACAAAAAATTAATTTCAAGTAGATGGAAGAAATAGAAAAACATCCCGTTTTATATAACTTCATGCTTTCACGGGAGGCAGGGGAAATTATTTTTGCCAAATCTAAGTAACTTTATTTTGACATTCGACAAAGTATTTTAAAAATAGACATACAAATATACAGTAGTCACTGTCTAGATAAGATAAGAACAACGTGACATTGTAGTATATTAGCGATATTTAGCTATAAATAGCTTTTAACTTTTAACTTCATGTTAGTTATTTAAAAATTATTTAAACATACAAACTAACTTGATGAATAATTTCATATATTTTTTACAACAAACATTTGCGTTAATAATTATAATTAATCTGATTAAACTATGTTAACGTGCCATCGTTTTTTACTGTCAAATAATTACGTAGATATACATGTTAACTTTAGATACAAATATAAATTAAATACAACAAAATGTATAAATTAGTAGATTTAAGCTAAAACTTTAATAATGAAAAAAATATAGACAACAATTGTTAGATAAATATACACAAATATAACAGTATTTAATTTAATATTACACGTAGTTAAATTTTAGTTTACTATATTATTAATTAAAACGTCATAAACAGGATATGATATAATCGATCGTTTAAATTTAGTTACAAGTTACATTATTTATATTAGGTTATAATTAAATCCCGAAGTATTTGGTTTTATTTGCGTTATATTTAGGCAATATTAAAAATTTGGTAAAATTAAAAGCCATCGTATAAGAATGGGCCCCTTTGAATACTTTAGGTGGACCGGCCTAAGGACGGACACATATTAAGGTGGGCCAGGTACACCCTAGTTCTCCCTTAGTTACGTGCCTGTCGCTGAGAACTCGAAGTAAGCCGGACGCATTATCCCGATATATCCTACCGTTACTGCGCGAATTTTTTTCATGTAAAACCATTTAAAACACGTATCAAAGTGCAATTCTTATAAACATTTTAAAGACAAAATTCGTTGACCATGGTCACGAAAATCTGCAACATTTAAAAGTTCATAAAACGCGTTCAATTTCAAGGGTTAAAAATTACCAAAAATTGTTAAATCAATAACCAAATGTTTAACAAATTTCCATTAAACGGTATTCGTTATTTTATGATCTAAAAATATAAATAGTTGGAACTTGAAACATAAAATGCATACCCACATATGTTAGCATTATACACGTACTAACGTAATATATAACATTTTAACTATAGATTGATCTATCTGTCCTTTATTCGGAATACACCTTTTGAATAAAGAGGTATATTAACTTAAAATGTTTAAGAATAACATTCACCTATTTCAATAACCCGATTATTTTATTTCACCTAACCCCTGTATTCAGAGACGGATCCAGAGTCGGGGAACCGCGAGTCAAGCCATTTCAAGAGGACATTTATTAAGGATAAAACTAAATTAGAAATTAATACCTTGTAAAAAAAAAACACAATATGCTCATAAAAGTTTATAAGTATATTTATATTACAATTTAGAATTAGTGATACCACCGATAATAACTTATTTACGATTAATAAATATAATCTAATTTTATCAGCGCAATAAACGTACGGAATAAAATATGATTTACTTAATTTTCTACTAAAACGATATAATTTAAAATATACATTATGAATTGAAAAATTTTAAATTTTGAATATACATGGCGTTCATTTTTCAAGTAACTCCGATGGGCCAACTGTCCAAGAGTCCAAATCAAGATCTAAAAAGAGAAAAAATTTCCAAGAGACCAATTTTGTCAACAAATATTTACTGTAGGTTAGCTGACCCCCTGAACCCCCCCTAGATCCACCCCTGCTTGTATTTTTAAAAATATACCGATCGACATTCCTGCCGGACATCACTGGTTTCTAAACGAATTTCACATGACCGTAAAGTAACTACATGACCATAAGCCTTCATGAATTGAATTTCGTTAGAAATATTTTTCAAAAAGAAGAACTACCGACTGCGCCAATTTATGTTGCGTGCCGATATATGGGTACCGGATAGTGCAACGAGAGATGAGTACACTCAACTATTCAGCTTCGTAATCAATGTAGAGTAATAATAATGTTGAAATTAATAACTCAAGACTTTAAAATATTAACTTTATTGATATATTTCTAAGTCCAATTTATTCAATTTGTAAAATTATTCTAAGTCCAAATAATTAATTTATTAAACAAACTGGCGTGAAGGTGCGTGCATTAACAAGATTAAAACACATCTAAATTAGGGCCTGTTCGGGACCCCCTTTTATATCAGATATATGCAAGTGTGTGTGTAAATCCCAAGTATGTGTGTGTATATGAAAATAATAATAAAATATGATAATTCCTTATTGATTCTGCGTGTGTGTGAGATCTCTCGTCTGGTACATAATTACTGACGCAAAGATACAGGATGTGTATACAGTGTGGTCACTGTTATTTCGATTATTTATTTATTATCTTAATTTCCCGTATAATGATCATGTGAACTAATTAAATAATTTAATTTATCCACGAGTGTGGTTTTGATTCTACATTTACATATTCCCGTTATAATGGAATCATTGTGGTATTGTAATGCAATCGATATAGTATTTATATATATATATATATCTGTAACATTATGTGATAGAATGTATGCCCGTGACATTATAATATGTATGCACATAACAGCATTTTGAAAACGCCATACTTGAAATTTTTATTTAAAAAAAAAAGTTTAAGGGTGCCTGACAGGATCGGTATAATATGAGGGATGGTTGAAATTTTCAATTTTACGCACTAAGGATTCATATTAGGTTAATCATTAAATGTGCAAACTGTGTAAAAAAAAAATAAAATTATACAAGTACATTTATGAATGTGTAGGTCACAGAGTTTTTTTTTTAGAATTTTTAGTAATAAATATGATATTTGGAGAGTCAAAATTTTAAATTTGCACTGTTTATATTTAAATATGATGAGCAAAAGGTAAAGTAAATTAAACATAATGATAGTATAGTAATAAAAATTTAAATAATAGCAGATAATAACAATATCAAATGCAACTAGTATACATAATAACAAAAATAATTGGGGAATGTTATGCCTTAATTATTTATTTATCAATATGGTAGAAAATATTAGTTTAGAATGGAGATTAAATCAGAAAGGAATATTAAAAGAGCTAAATTTAAATTTGAACTTTGTGAATTAATGTTTGGTTTGGGACTAGAAGTAACAGAGGCATATGACGGGATTTATTGAGAAGGGTCGTTGGAAAGGACTTGGAAATTACATTTTTGGACTAAGAGGTATTGTTGTGGGAGTGTGAAAACCTACATTTGTGACGATTTAAAATGGATTAGTAGAACCGGCAACATCTGAAGTTGGTCGCGTATTATCCTTGGAGTAGTGGACGCATTTAGCTGGACTGAAGCGATCCTTGGTACTACTATCAGACTCATGAGTTTCGCTATATTTGACGCAGCGAATGACAGTAATTACATAATAACCATACAATTGCAGATTAAAACATTGCGGTGGACCGTATGTGGTTGTATTTGATTTTTATATTATTACTTTCGTATTTATTAATTAAGTTATGCTGTAGATTTGGTTATTTTTATCATTATATTCAAGAATGACGAAAAATATTGGATGAGGATGGTTATTTTATTATACGAGTACATTATGGACTTGCCTCATAAGTCACTGTGCAATTCTGACAGTGTGGCAAAGGTAGGTATAGATACTGCATTACCTATACTGGAATGTTGGAGGTTTTTGATAACAATTCTAAAAGGACATACAGAATGAGAACGAAAAGTATGTAAACTGCCGTTAATTTTCGTCAAATACTCAGCTATTCCGTTGAAGTTATCGTGAAGAGTAGTAACTGAACTGTTGGATAATTTCCTTTTGGACGGCATGGGCGGACGACGCGAAATTTTAGCGGAACGAACCATCACTTTATTTAGGTTGAAAACAAGACAACCGATATTACAATCGAATACGAATAACGGATCGAACGCTAAGGCGTAAGTTTATGATGAAAATTACAACTGGAGTTGTAATGCTTAGTCACCTGTATAAGTTGCAAGTCAATTAATTGCCACGAGTTATCTAAACGAAAAGTTTACGTTGAAAAATATGATAAAAAATGTATTTATCAAAAGATGCTCGTTACAATAAGTTATATAATAAGTAATATGCATATATTGTCGTAAAAATCATAAATATTAAAAAATAAAACTAAAAAGCAAAATATTTGGAATAAATTGATTAATGTTTACTGTTTAATTATTTCAAGTACGTGACTGATATTATTAATGGCCAATAGGACTTCCACATCCATCGTAAAATCCGATTTCTATAATTCCCTGATAGAGCCAGTTCATATAATCAATACAAACGTAGTTAAAGTCAAACATCGAATTAAATTACTTATTATAATAATGCATTGTATAAAAATAGAGTTAATTACTTATCCGGTTTAAATGCGGTATTATGAAAAATTTGTACGTGAATTGTAATATGTACAATTGTGTACATGACTCGTCGTACTACAGTGGTCTCGAATGTATTTTTAAACGTATGAGGAAAAATGAACAACACCACGTAGGTTTCTCGGATTTAGTATAAAATATATTACAACTTACATCTGTACAAGCATAGAAATTATTATATTTTAACATTTTTTTTTTATCAATATCATACATTTTGATTGAGCATTTTATTTTTTTCACGAATAACGTCAATGGTTAATTTTATTTTTATAGATTAACAATTTAGTCAAATTATATGATGGTAAAAATTAATTTATATAATATATAAATATATATATATATTATATTTTAAATTATTTTGTAAAACGAGTTTTATTCGAACAAAAATATTTTATATTCATAAAATACAAATACCAACGACAGTTCGATTAAAAAAAAAATAAAAATAAATTACTGTGAAAATATGTATTGATGAAACTTAACATTTTCTGAGTAATTACAAAAAAAAAAAAAAAATGGGTATATAATGTTTCATACAAAAGAGTGGGAGAAGAGGATAGTGATATCATAATACACCGATAATATACACCGATAGTCAGCGTTTTTATTTCTCATTGGCTAATCGAACGATTATTATTTTGATTGAAGGATTTAGCACAAGTGCTGGACGACAGTGATGAATTCGGAGTAATCGTGTTTTCTTTCGGATCTTTGGTGGCGTTGAACTCACTGCCTGAGGACATATTAGACAAGCTAAAATCCGTATTCAGACAACTGCCCCAGACGATCATTTGGAAGTACGAAAACGATCACATGCCCGACAAGCCGGACAACGTGGTGCTATACAAATGGTTACCGCAACGTGCAATATTACGTAAGTCAAACTAGAATGTTTTACACTGTTTTTAATGTTAATCAAAATAGCGTTCAAAGACGCTTCGGCGAACTGTGTATTCAGATGATCAAACCCTTCGGTGGTTTGAAATCGAGACCACGACTTAGTTCAAAGCGTTCAAAATTTTCCATAGACTCGACGGTCACGTATAATACTCGTATTATGTTAGTGATGATAGCTTATAGGTAGATCCCGGATTTATATGTTTTACATAATTTTTTCCTTTTTGCGTTTTTTAACTTCAGTTAATAATCATGACGATTTATACTGAATGGAATTTACCACTAAATTTTTATTTTGCATATTTTTGCATATTTCATTGTAAATTCATATTTATTGCATACTTCAATGCATGCACTGTTACCAAAAAAATGTTGGTCGATAAACGCTGCAGTATTGACAAATCTCTACGTAATAATACGTATTATATGCAACATGTATGGATTAGAAATTAAAATTGAGGGATAGTTTACTGATTGTAGTCTTATACTTACCGTCGTTATAGATATAATGATACATTTAATTTTATAATAAAAACCAAAAGATTATGAATTTAAAATTTAGTAAACTGTTGTTACAACCTTGTTGGAAATTGACACGGACATATTTCCAAAGTATAAAATGTAAAAAATGAGTACTTCTTTAGTTCTAAAATATGTAAGTGAATTTCCTACGCAAAAAAAAAAAAAAAAAACACGGAAGTTCTAATGAAAAAATAATATTTTGTAACTCATGTGGAAAACATATAATTTGTGAAAGAAAATTACAATTATATCTATAAATGAAAACTGCTACTTTTTTATAATTTATACAATGAGTTTAATTCTTCATAAGCATGGTGGTATACCTAAACATAATTCATAGAAACACTTTTTTTTATTCCGTGTATTTGCAATTAAAAGAACATTTCAAAAATAGAAATTAATTTCATCTGGTTTCCCATCAAATTCCAATTTTTTCAAAGATTAATTATATAATATTTATATTAAAATATAAAAGAAACAATTATAATATTGTATTAATATAACACATAAAAACGTTCTCAAAGACTTGCACAGAAGCAACGTAAAGTTTTGAGCCTAAAATAAGCGTTTAATTACTGATTATAGATTGATTATTTAAATATTCCAGCGTTTGAAATAGGACCAATTTATAAATGACTATATTATGCCCAAAGTGTCATGCAAAAAAATGAAAAATGAAACCCATGGATTTTGCTGGGTTGACAGTAGATTTGATTTATACCAATTTGAGGATACTTCGGACCTAATTAAAAATGTAATTGATAATTCTCAACTTCTATCAAAACATTTCTTTGATAATTCTAGGAGGTATAATACTCAGTTTCAAATAACATCGTTTGAAGCAAACAAAATAGTATCCCTCCTCTTTTACTGGCTCCTCACGTTACATGTATGAAAAAAAAATCAGGATGTCATGACTTAAGTTTGGCCGTCCAGATTTATTCATTACTTTCACATACAAACCGAAATGGCCGGAAATAAAAAATTAATTATTTCAAGATCAAAAGTCGTTAAGCCTTTATGTCATTTTTGTTCAGAGATTTCGTAGATCTTCATTCATAGTGCTTTTCGCATGGAAAATTATACATGGGATTTTCCCGAACTGAGGACAAGAATTATCTGATTGATGATTGACTGATTAGATGATCACCATTTTTTACAGCCCTGGATTACCTCCATCCAGGTATCCATCTCGTTCACCCTTTATCAATAATGCTTTCATTAAATGTATTATCAGTGCTGGATTTATAATTTAATCTTATGTTTATGATAATAATGATTGATTTTATAGCTGTAATGTTGTTACTAATGCAAGAAAAAAAGAAAAAAATATATAGAAACAATATTATGCTATAATATTTATAAGATTATAAGAGATTATAATGTATACCAATTTTGTGTCATTCTTTTTAACGGAAACGCCATTTATCCATATTGAAGTACAATATCCAGTACGTGATTATTTTATTAGCTGTTTTGGGTTTCTTAATTACCACGCCTCATTTACACACAAACAATAATACCTTATGGTATAAAAAAAAATCAAATAAATATACAAAAAAAGAATATAATTTATAATAATATTTCAACGTCAGCTTTGAAACAGATAGAAAAATCAACTAAAATTGAAATAAACATTTATTATTAAAATATAAGTTAAGGTAGAAACTCCTATAACATACATTCCGTGAAGTAAACAAAGTACGCAAGGATTCAAACGGTTATGAACATTCAGATTATGTATTTAATGAATAATACGTACGTATCAAATATACCTAAATCAATAATGATATAGTACATACCCCGTGGCTGTATGTAAATTGCGGCAAAATTTACCTTTTTCTAAAATTCGATGTGTAAACTGTGGCAAGGAAAAATTTAACATTATACAATTTATGACAAAACCGTTAAGATACATTATACAAACTGTGGTAATTTATTTTATATATCTACGATATTATGTACTTTATGGTATGTAATATTTACTATGTGTACCTATGTACATAAATGGTTGAATTAATTATGTTATGTTGCGTCTTGCGTGTTCACACCGTTGTTCTAACCATGTTTTGTTACCACTTGTTTTTTGATTCATTCTTAAATTTTAATTTAAATTGTTTGACATTATTAATTGTTTGTCAATCGGGCTAAACATTGTTGTAAATTCCATCACGTTGATTTAAATAGTAAACTTTAAAATACTTCTACCGATATCTAAAACTAGTAAGTAGGTACTAACTAGTATTATCAGAAGTAAAGGAACCGATATTTATAGTATGTTTCGTTAAAACTTAAAAATACATTTGGATTCACTTAAACATTTTGTACACAAGATGCAACATGACGTAATTGAGGGGAAACCACACCCATTTTCAGTTTCATTCCATGAGTACAAAATGCAGTTTTTTGGTTTTTGATCTGAATTAGATATAACAAATGTCAAATTATAAGGCCAGACTTGGCGACTCTAAAATACATCAGTCACAAACAACTTTGGTAAAGGTTGGGTTTGCATCATATCAAATGAACAAGAGATTTTTCCAGGAGTTTATTTTTTTAATAGTTCAAAAAAAACGCTTAGCTTTTCTCTTATGTAAAGTTAATTTTAACATTAACTCACTTTTTTTTGTTATTATCTCCCTCAGTTTGAATTTTAATTTTTTATTCCATCCAATAATTGCAGGTGCCTTGACGAGTATGTCCAAAACTTATGTTAAACTTTGTAGTAAGTATTTACTGATATTTACTTAAAGAAGCGGTTTGTTTTTTTTTTCTAATTTTCTTTTCTTAAACCAATTTTCTTTCCCACATATGCTTAATAGAATATGCAGGTAGTAAATAGTTCCGGCCAGTATCCTCACGTGTATGATGACTTTTTCTGCATTTGAGCGTTTTTAATATGTTCTTTTATTAAATTTGTTATTACATCTTGAATAAGATCAACACGAATACCACTGTTTGCGCTGTACGCGATAAGGCCGCGCACACTTAATTATTATTATTATTATTATATGAAAATGATGTATATGTTACGCGATGCACCATTTACCGTGCATCCGTATCTTTGTTTTCGTTTTCTTCGTTTGATAATTATTGTAATCACGTTATTTTTGTATTTTTTTTGTTATGTGTCGGTCGTGATATCACTGCCGGCACATTCGTTCGTCCACGTTTTTCTCGTTCGTTCGTCGTCAGCCATTGAGGCAACTGTTTTTTTTTTTGTATTTTAATCATCGTCGTTTTTGCACAAATACAATTTTGTTTCGTTTATATACTTATTTTTTGATACTAATATTTGTTGTGATTTTTTATAGTTTTTCCTTTTAGTCTCGCATTGTGCGAACTACTTAAATTTGTATTTATTAATTGTGCAATTATAATATATTGTTTTACGCCATTGCGGCTATTAATTACTAAAATATCTCTATATTACGCCATTGCGGCTAATACTTGTTAAATTGTTATTTTTATTCTCATGCCATTGCGGCTCTCTTTTGTAAACTTAATTATTGCTGTAAGGCTTAAATAGCCAATAGCCATCTCTTTTGATTATAAATTTATTACTATTATTTATTGTTAATCGGCTCTAATAGCCAATATTTAAATATTGTCTTATATTCTTTATTTTTTTTTTGGATTATTATTATTATTTTATTTAGCTCAGGCAGTAGCTGGCCAGCGGTGCTCCACAAAATTGTGAGTTTTTATATATATTATTATTTATTTATTTTTTGTTGATAGTTTTAGTATAAATTATTATATTTGTTGTGCCAACCAGGCAAATCAAAATTATATCATTCTTTTTATTATATATTTATTGTGCCACTATGGGTAATTAAAAATTATTTTTTTTTCATTTCCAAACATTAATGTCACTACCGTGACTGGTCCTTCGATCGTCGTTTCGGCCCGAACAACCACTTTTTTTTTCAGTAGGACTAGAATGATTTTGTTTGAATGTTTTACTTACTATATTAAATCATTTTCTAGTTATTGATGTCACAGAAGAAAATGCATCAAGACAAACTGGTATTAAATTACCTCTTATATGTGGTATTCAGTATTTCACAACATCACAGTTTCAGTTACTAGATCAATATATTTTGGATCATTATTTATTGGTATATTTGATACTGATTCCATCAAAGGAAGGAAATCTATCTTCTAAAATCAAATTAGCATCAACTGTTGATGTATTTGGTTCAATTAATATTTGATTAGTTAATATTCTTTCTGTATATAAATTTAATGATCTAAAATCAGTCTCAACATCTTTAGTGGTAATTTTATCATTATTTTGTAATAGTTCTGTATTTATGCATGATGTATTTGTTTTATCAGAGATTTTAATCAATATTGTATTATTTAGTATATTTTCTTCAATATTTATGAGCTGATCTGTAATTATTTCAACATCTATGTTTACAATGTTTAGGATTGGAACAGAATAGTTCAAATCAACAATTTCCTAAATACATTTTTAGTATTAATTCTGGAGTATTTGATATTTTTATGAAAATACAGTTAAAAATTAAATATTAAATACAATTTTAAAAAAATTGAAATTTCTTGTCTCTAAATAAATTACCTAGGTACATGGTTATAAATTATAATAAAAATATGAAATTTTAAATAAATGACATTAAAGACATTTAAATTAGTATTATTATATTTTTTCTTTCTATTTCTATTTATAATGTACTAAAATTAACGTTTTTCTTTTCGATTTAGTTATTATAATAACACAAAATATATTTTTTTAAATTTATATTAATTTAATATTTAATGTACCTAGGTACTATAAAAAAAAAAAATTAATTGTATTAGAATTATTATAATACTTTAAGATTTATTGAGTATTAAGGTTTACCAAAAACAATAATTTATGTGATTTTAATTTTCCACCCTAATAATAAAATATAAAATTCATTTAATTTCAAGTTAAATTTGATAGCATAATCTTAATTATTTGATAAATTGGACCAGCCATAGTAAATTGAACAGTTTATAGTCTAATAATAATATAAATAAAATATAAAATACAACACTTAAATACAAAATCAACTATTTTTATTATTCAAATTAAAGTATTTGGAGTAATACCCAACATACATTTAATATGAATTTATCTATTTTTCAATTTATTCTACATAATATCTACCTATGCATCTACTATGAAATCAATTAAAAAAAATAATTTAAATATTATAAAATTATTTTATTTTATTTCTTGAAATATGTATTGCTACAAATTATTAGGTATCATAATAATAAAAAGGCATATAGTATTTATCTACAATTTAATTATTTAACAAATAATTAAAAGTCTTGTATAAAGTAAAGTTGTAATCCAATAAATTCATTTTTTCATACCTCTAACCACCTTGACATTTTTTGAATAAATTCATTATAATTAATTTTTTCTGTGTTTTTACTTTCACCACATCTGACCATTTTAATGGTTCTTGAGTTGAACATTTTAATTAAATTGTTGCAAATAAAACATTAATATTTTACATAAAAGTATTGGTAATTAAAACAATGAACTTTACCTTGTATGTACTCTTGTCTCGCTTAAGTAGGTTAAGTGTATTATCATAATACCATGATAGTCAATAGTCATTATAGAAACTTTTGGAGCTAAAACTTTGTGATTAACATTTAGCGCCAAAAGTTATACTGAATTTTATCAGTTGCACCAACTAGTAAATAAAATAAAATAACAGAGACCCATATTATATCACCATTAAATAATTAAAGAAAAACAATTAAAATTGAAATTTCAACAACATCTTTTACACTTGGAAATAGTACGTTTTGCAAATAATTGATTTAGTATAGCTACATTTTAACGGAAATAATACGTTTTGATGTAATTTGGAAATAGTTCTTTATTACAAAATTTTAGCAATGGAAATAGTGCGTTAATGCAGAAATTATGAAATTTTATACTGGAAATAGTACGTTTTTGGCCAAATCTGACCACGAATTCGATTCCGCACGGTTTTTACTATCAGAAATTATATATAACTCAATTTTGATATTTTTGGAAATAATACGTTTTGTATTTTCGCCCCTCAATTAATTAAACGATATACGTCCATACTAGATATTATATATATATATATATATAATATCCAAATAACCAATAAAACACTGAGTGCAATTTTTCTTTATTTATAAAAAATCAAATGATAAGTACTAGCACATCGAAAAAATGATTATGAGCAACAGTCTCTGTAATATATATCGTACATTGGTTTGTACGAAAAAAAATTGAAAAATGACACGAATCCTAAGTCTCGATATCCTGAGTTCTTCTTCAATATAACTAAATGATCAAATTTTTCTATAAAAGGACAAATTTGAAAAATTTGATACGCACCATTTAAAATTAACACTTACGATTATGTACCTATACCATTCGTATGCATCATTTAGTCGGGAAATTACTTTTGTAATAGGTATAATCTAGTAATATATTACATTAACTAATATTATTAATGTTATAAAAATAAAATGATTATGTAATTAACTCTTTATTTACATTTTTTATGAGATAAATTAATTATATTGAAATTAATATTGAATTTAAAATTTGACTTGTAAAATATTATTATCTTCAATGTTTGAGTCAAGACAATAAAATTTTCGTTGGGGAATAATCGATTTTTGAATAAAAAAAATATAAATCGAAGCTAGCCCGGGTTGCACAAAATACGTTCACGTGAAATAGTGAGATATTAAAACGAGTAGAGAATTATTTTTGTACAAAATAATATTATTATTTTCAAATTTAATGTTTAAATGTTACTTGAAATGTTTCATTTACAGAACACCCAAACGTGAAAGTATTCATCAGTCACGGTGGGTTGAACGGAGTGTACGAGGCTGTAGATGGCGGAGTTCCAATTCTCGGTATACCTTTGTTTTTCGACCAACCTCGAAACATTCAAAATCTCGTGGATCTCGGAATGGCGTTATCTTTGAAAATCAACGAATTCACTGAAGCGACCCTATACGAAGCCATTAATCGATTAATCGAGGATCAAAAGTACTGTAAATTAATGAAGTGTGTTTTTCTTTCATTCTTAACTATCACGCCATTAAAATATGACATAATTTAACTTGTGTTCTTCAAATTTTCCATTCAATCTGAACGACGACCAAGAGCAGTTTGTTCTAAAATGAATTACCATAAACGAGACATGTACACATTGCTCAATATTCGATTATTTCATCACTATCACGTGTTACTTAGTATTTATTTAGGTCACAGTAGAGTATATGTAATAATTTAACTGTTTTTAATATATTTGATATAATTTTAATTGAATAGGTCGGTAAATTTGAAACTAATTGAAAACCAACATTGGAACTAGATTACATTATATTATGTGATATTGTAACTTAAGATGATTTTCATATTTATTTGATAGCAAAATTAATTTTCAATATAAAGCAATATATTTATTATTATTATTATTATTATTATTATCCATTAAGATGACGTGTTAAACGAGTGAAACCAGATGTATGCTTCGCGTTTAATGTTCCATGAATGATCCATGATCTATGACAATAGGGGCTAAACTACACCTGCATACATCCAATTATATGTCGCGTGATCGTGATCCTGTTTATGGATCAGTAAATTAAATAATAATTTATTTACGATTTTTTGGAAAAGAATCATATTATTTTAATTTTTTTTTAAAAAAAAAAAAAATTATTTTTGTTTTGCGTTTTTATTTTTTTTATTAATGTATTTTAAGCTTAACCAACATCTTAACACTTTACAAGTATTAAAATATAAATAACTTTAAATTCATATTTTTAAAGAAAAATCAAAAAAATTAAGATAACATTTTTTTCTTTTAAATAAAACAAAAATGGAGCCATTACAATTAATTTACACTGTATGGTTTTTTGACCACATGTAATTTATTTTTATACTTAAATTACTAATGTAAGACTCTTAATTAAAAAAAAATATTTATATTATAGGAAATAAATTTATATTTTACTAGATAAAATTATACATGAATATACAATCTATATTGAAAATAATTACATCAATTGACCATAACTTACATGAGTAATTGCAATACACATTGTTTCCTGCATACATAGTAATACCATAATTTGCTGTGAGTGGTAGTTATTAATTTTAATAAAATTAACATTTTTTTTTTTTTAACTAGAACATTTTAATTATTTCTTATTTCATAAAATATTTTTAAACAATTTATTTAATTAATTTCATCCATGAAAATAATTATTTTTTCTTTTTGATTTTTATTTAATTTGCAATTAAAAACGAATCGACACAACATTACTGTCCGAAATTGCATCACTAAAACTTAAGTGTGTAATTCTTTTCATCTTCAGTTTTTCAGAAAACGCCAAACGGGTGTCGACCCTGTTCAAAGACCGTCCCATGTCACCGTCCGATTCCGCCGTCTACTGGATCGAATATCTGATTCGACACGGATCTGAAGCTAATGTCACGCCCCCGTCAGCGGACGCTTCTTGGACCGTTCACTTCATGGTAGACCAGCTATTCGTCGCCTTGTCGGTCTTGGCACTCGCGTTATGGTGCAGCGTACGAGTCTTCCGTTACAGGACATCGATCGGAATACCGGGGAAATAAAGTCTCACATCAGTTACCGCGGCCGCGGTAGGATGCCATTTTCGGTAAAAAAAACGTTTTCACTAAATATTTCTATAAATAGTTTCGAGGTACTAAATGCTAAATGAATCAAATCGTTTTAAGGATATAAATGATTGTTCAAACGTACAGTCGGCACATAATTAGTAAATATTATCACGACGATCTATTAATACACCACGATACTGTTTCGTAAATTTCTTTTCGTACATTGATTTCGATCTAAGTTTTAGCCAGTGGCGGCTCGTGGGGTTCACATAATATGGTGCACAGATAATTTTTAAGATATGTAGGGGGGGTAAAAAAAAAATATTAATTTTAACATAAGTATAGGTAAATATAACCATTGATTATAGAATAGATATAGTATTATATAATCAATGGTATAGCGTATATTATTATAACGTATATATTATTATCTATATATAAATGAATTGCTGTTCGTTAGTTACATGAATAATAATATATGTTAACGTCGGTGGTAGATAGTAAACAGAAACACAATTGTTGTTTTAAATTTAAGATAATGACTAACATTATCAGACGATAATCGGAATATAATAAACAAATAAGAGTAAAAATAAATCATAATACCGATGCCAACACGTAACGGCGCGGCGACATCGAAAATAATTCACTGGAAACAATTTAATTGGTCATGTGCACAGAAACGAACGTGCACATCAATTCCACTATAACGCGTACACGCAGTTTCGATTTGTTTTAATTTTTACATTGTACAAATGTGCACAGCAATAGTATGCACTACTGCAGTGTTTCCCAACTTATTTTACCTGCGGAACCTTTGCAGAAGCTTGAACATTCTGCGGAACCCCAATATTTTTTCTATAATATTAATGCAGACATATGTTTTGTACACTTAAATGAGTGGGTTATCGGACACTCCCGGCACAAGAGTGTCATTAATAAAAAAAAAAACATGATGGCTTTAACATTTTATTTTGTTTATTACTATTACAATATTATAAATTTACATATCAAAGCTTAAAATTTAGTATTTGTCTCTCATTACCTCTAAGATAGATTCAACGAGAAGAATCTTTCCATAGTTTTTTTCGTAACCGTTTTCAAATCTGGAGTAATTCCTGAAAATTGGATTCGTAAGTCCAGAGCTGCGTTCAGTTAATTTTGAAACTTATTCTTAGTCTTTGTATACCCCGAAAAGCTACAAACTATGTATGCACCTCGCATTTGGGAAATGTGTCAATTCCAGTTTTATGTTGAGTTCTATGTTCAAATCAAAATATTGCTAATTATTTATATTTTCCCAAATTTCTCACGGAACCCTTCGCGCAAACTCACGGAACCCATAGGTTCTGCGGAACACCAGTTAGGAAACACTGCACTACTGCACCACTTTAAAGGTGCGTTTACATTACAGCCCGCATACGAATGAATGGCGCACGAACGCTACCGCACGAAAATTCGCTATATCGTTTACATTAGTGCGTTCGTTCGTGCACTCAAGGTTCGCCTCCAAATACACCTAGTATACTTAGTACCGATCAAACTGTTGTCGAGTGAACTCGTGTTGCCAAAATCACGTGTGTTTAATTTAAAAATTCAAAAATTTCTACAAGATCCTAGTACACTCCATTATTTTCTTCGTTTCGTTCAAGTCTCGTTTTGATTCATTGGCTATTTCCAAGCAGAAGTCAATTTTTTTCTTTCCCGTTTTATAATGGGGATGTTCAGGATCCCATAGAATTGGTCTTGATTTATATGAATTTACAAGATGTGAATATTCATCGTCCGTTCACTCCATAATTGAGTCAAAATAAAATATTTAACATAAAATACAGCGCAAACGACGCATACGGGCCGTATGCCGTTGAAATTGAATGAATAGTTTGTTTGATCTTACCGCTTTTCAGTCGATCACGACCGCACGTGAACGAACGTCTTCATAGGCGTCACTAAGGGGTATTGAGGGGTATCTTTGCTACCCCAGAAATTTTCGTGGGGTAGCAAGGGTATATTTTTAGTACCCCAAAAAAAGTTATAGATTTTAAAAATATATTCGAAGTTTATTATTCAAGCGTGTACGAATATAGACCAACTATTATTGTGATTGTATCCAAAATAATAATTATTTTTTGTGATAAGTCCAATACGGATAATAAGACAGTGTATACCAAGATTTACAAAGAAGAATTAGCCAGTTAAACCTTTAAAAATTTATTTTTTAACTTTCTAAAAATAAACTTTGCTACCCCAAAATTTGGACTCTAGTGACGCCCTTGAACATTTTCGTTCGTATGCCATCGGACTGTTCACATTATTCGTGCGCCATTCATTCGTATGCGGGCTCTAATGTAAACGCACCTAAACACACACACTGATACCGTTCCATCGCGGAGAATCACCTACTCGTTTAGCCTTGGGAATAATCCAATCTCAATATTATATTATTTTGAAAATAATTTTTATATATATATTATATAAATAATATTTTCATAATATTCTGATTTTTATATTTTGAAAAATAATCTTAATAACACTACAGGTATTTAGTTGTATTATTATGGTTTATGTTTTCAATTTTTTTTTTTTGAGTTTTGAGTAGGTAGTGCTCGTGCACTTGTGCACATATACACGAGCCACCACTGGTTCTAGCTATGAAGCTAGAACACTCAAAAGAGTTATTTAAGGATGCACGTGCTCAGAATTAGAACTTTTTACTACCTACTAACAAATGATTACTTTTATACATAACATTTTTTCATACTCTTGTTTTTCTTCCATGTTTCCACCTTAAGGTAATGTATAATATATGTTTGTTCATACAGGAGGGCATATTGGTCAAATTATTTTCAAGTACGCTGTATTAGTAAACAGAGACGACGTTTAAGTTCGACCGCCGAAAAATGCCATTCTTGTTAATTTTATTTTTATACTTAAAAATTAATAATAATAACAATATAAGTTTTAAAATAAAAATATTTGAACTTAGTATTTATTATCAACAATGAAAAAGCAAAAAAAAATTATCTAGTTATGTAAGTAAATAACATACCAAGACCAGACTAACCCTGAATCTGACTCTGCTACCATTGAGCGTGTCCAAAGGCACTTTTTAACTTATGACAGTAATGCGTTGATTATTCCTCACCCGATGCATGACTACTCACCAGTTCTTCACGAGCTCAGTCTTTCAATGCTAGCCGACAGAAAATTTGTCCGTGACTTGAACTTTGAACCTCATTGAAGGCTTTGCCGTCGGTCCTACGTTTCTTTCAACGTCGTACCCGCTCTACCACCACTTTTGCTATCCCAATACACGCCACCAACTTGTAACAATACAGATACACACCCCTACAATATAGACAACTCGAGTATCTTCCCTGTTGACTTCCTTCACGCCTCTAGCGGAGCAATCACGGTAAAAATACTAGGAATTGCCTATAAACGTACAATAGATAGCACTAGTCCTCTATAGTTTTTTAAATGTGATTTTATTTTTATATTTAAATAAATAATATCCTTAAAAAAGTAAATATTAACAGTAAATCGGACTCAACACTTAATGGTCCATGTCACCACAAACTTTGGATTAGTGATTCCACACAGAATCTCAAGTCAAAGCAATAAGATTTTTAACACTATCCACCATCATAACAATAAAATTATATAAAAAGGCAAAATGACACACCGAACATCACCACTCCCGATACCAATGTAGTAGAGTATATACGGCGTCTTATTATTGGTCTGCATACCGATATATTCTCCACTCTAGTATATTTTTCCCGAACTCTCATGAGGTTGCTATATCGGCACATGTCCACACAGTAATGCCTGGAATATTTCACCGAACTAACGAGAACCATAATAAGTATTCATAGCATTCAGCAAGAAAAATGTTCAGAAGTATATTCAGTCGTCTACCTGTAAGTCAGCCAGCCACTAGGAGGAGTTCTGCTCTTGCTGCATCCTCAGTAAAGCTCGCTCTACTTACTGACTTACTAACTAGACTGACTAATCAATTACATATCCATTATATTACTATAACGTGCCCATAAAACAAATAAACAAATACTGTGTGTGTGTCCGTTATAAACTATAGTTCGAACAATCCGATTCACTACATTATGCGTCTTGCTAATGTTAGTACTCATCGTTTTCACTTTAATATAAGCACCGCTTCCGCTGATTTGCTATTCATATAAAGATTCAACTTTCATTTACTGTTTACATTACATTCAATCTCATCGATTAACACCTAAGTTTTACAACTTAAAATCTTGGCTTGGCTTTAATTAAAGTACTTTTACAGTATCGTTTACAAAAATTTTTCTTAAGTTAGACTCATAAGAGATATTTTAAATGTACGCTCCACTAATAGAAATTGAAATTTATAATTACTTACCTTGTAGAGTATAAGCCGAAAAAGTAAAGCTTCAGGTAAATAAAATTTAAAATCAATTTTCTTGTTTGTATTTTAAGAGTATGTCTTAACCAGGCGCAGATCCAGGGGGGGCGACTTCCCCCCCATCGTTGGCGTATCAAAATGTGTTAATTTAATTTAAAGTACTATTAAATTCCATTAAATCGCATATCTTGCGTAATAATATTCTAATGTATTATTATTATCATAAATTTTCGTCTTTTATTTTTATAACATAAATTAATGAATAGTCGATAAGAACAATATTATTATGACCGTATGATCGACAACAACCGTCAACCGGCCAGCCCCAGCCAACTCATAGAGTATACTTATTTATAATCCGCCCTTCCTGTTATGGTAGGCTGGATCCGCGCCTGGTCTTAACTGCATGTGTTATCTCCATCTGACACATGACATTACAAATTCATGTTCAGTAGTTCATATGTAGTAATGTTATATTTGATATTAGAGTAAATTGATCTTTAATCCAACTTTATGAGAAAAACATCATCTGTGGTCTATTGGATGGTTTTTTCTGATATTTTATTTTTAGCGAGTTATGATATTTTTTAATTGTAACATTTTACATACTTATAACTCGCTATAAAATTAAAATATCGGAAAAAACCGACCAACAAAACATAAATAATGTTCTTCCCTTAAAGTTTGATCATTGATCAGTTTAATCTAATATTAATGCTAACATCATAACTTTTGAATAATTGCTCGCAAATTGGATATGTTGTACGTGGTCAGAGACAACACACGCGGGCGTCTCTTTTAATAACGATTGAATTATATTTTATTTGCGTCTTTTTCTATGATTTACCGTATGCTCATGATTCATAGTTGTCAAGGGTTGTGTTACTAAAAATAATTTACACTTGCAGACACTTTAACTTCATAAAAATACAAAATAATATTTTACCATTTAATACATATTCCCTAAACTCTTTCATAAATGTATTTAACATTTACGTATTTTTCTGAATTTTGGATATTTATCCAAAATATATTATCAGTTCAACAAGTTTATATTATATATTATTTTATTATTATATAGTTAAGTTTTAACTATTTATTTTTTTAACTCAAATCAGGCCTTTGATTTATCATACCGATAATTACATATTATGTACAAATATTATATTAACCTATGATCAAACTTTAAGGGAAGAATATTATGTCTGTTTTGTTTGTCGAATTACCATATCTTTCGAATTAGCTTATGTTCGGATTATCAAGACATTAATGTACTCTTAAAATCAAGGCTTCAAACTGGTTTTATTGGAAAATATGTATAAACGAAAACAAAAAATGGAACCACAATTACAAATTTTATGGAACAAAAACCAAAAAAAATATTCTCGAACGGAAATAAATAAATTTTTAATTACGAAAAATAATTAATATTGAATTTTAATTTTTACACATTGTGTTAAGTTGGTCAGCCTTTTGTTTAACAAAAGATAGTTAAAAAATTATTTGATAAATATAAAATAATTTGCAAGATAAAAATTGAACAGTTGGTAAATGAGACTACTGATCATAACTCCACACTACTGTAGATAATACGTAAACACGATTAATGACAACCAGAAACCACATTGTTTATTATTACAATACTTTTAATGGACGATGGTGTTATCTATTTACAAATACTTGATAGGTACAATTTAACCTATCAAGTATTTGTAAATTTGTTCAACATCTTGAATTAATATGGTTATTCTTTGTTGTCTTACTTAATAAATACTTAATAAATATTGCAGTTATGTTTTTCATTATATGTGTTAGTATATTCATTATTGTAATAGAAACTAAATATGTGTACCATATTATTTATTGTATATTAATATTCAGTGTCTGAAATAATATTAATATATATTTATATATTAATATACGGCCTCTGAAACTGAAAAAAAATATATTATAAATATATAAATTATGAACTTATTTTAAGAATATCTCACGATAGTTGAATTTTATAATTAATTATTTCATAATTATTACAATGAATTGTCTAGGGTATAAAATTATTATAAAAAAATTAATTTTTTTAAAAGAACAAAATTAACAGGTTTTATTACATTGAAAACCGGTTTTAAAAAACTATAGAATATAAGAACAATATTAATCAGTTTTTATAACCGAATAAAATAGTAGATGAACTAAAACCATTAACTACAAAAAATCATTATGGTTTGAAGCTCTGCTTAAAATACAAACAAAAAAATTGAATGTAAATTTTATCTACCTGAAGCCTTAAATTCGGCTAATACTTCACTCTACGAGGTAAGTAATTATAAATTTCAATATCTGTTAGTGGAACATACTTTTCAAATATCTCTTATGAGTTTAAATTAAGAGAACTTTATGTAAACGATACTGTAAAAATTCTCTAATTAAAAAACAAGCCAAGATCTTGAATTGTAAAACTTAAGTGTCAATTGACGAGATCACGGATATAAAGTATTGTCCAAATTTCTAACACTAGGCATATGCGTGATATTTAATCAAATACAAACAGTAAATTTATGTACAAACCTGTGTGCATCTCTTCTACCAGAGGCCGCTCCATGGGGGACCTAGGGGCAACGACCCCCAAGCCCGTACCGTATTTATAAAAAAAATTATATTGCTAACAAAAATGCATATTTTAATATGGACTATTATACGACTCGCACAAGTGTGTAGATAGAGCCATAGAGATATGACGGTGTATACGATGTATCTGCTATCTATATTATGAAGAACCAATAAGGCTACAAATAAACTATATTAGTAGGTATAAAATATACTATTGTATGATACTATGATATTATTATTTTATAATGTTTAAAACATTAATTGCGTAGCACACATTTCTGTACGGACTAAATTGTTGTTTTCTTTTAGTTATAATATTTTGTATTCAATTGTCGAGATATCATAATGTAACGTTAAAATCTCATTAATAAAAAAAAAAAAAAAAATATTTTGTAAAAATATAACTATCCCCCTCTAACCAAGGCTTTGGAGCCACCCCTGCCTTCTACCGTTGTCAAACACACTAAAATGTCTATACATTTTTACGATCGTTGATTTTGGAACTCGTTATATTGTTCAGCAATCTGACGTTTCGAGAAACCTAATATTGACGTCGAAAATTGAGATTTTTTTCACCAAAAAAAAAAAAAAAAAAAAAAAGTAAAATAAAAATAAAGATTCTAATAAAACAAAAATTGTCCGCACAAACCGAACCGAGTGCTTCCGTTCAGCGGTGTAACGCACATTAGAATTGGGACCGAACCTATATTATTAGGCGTTCTGTATTAAATGGTGACCGCGGTAGTCACATCAAACGGGATCCACTGCACTGATAAACCGCACAACGAGTAACTACTATGTACTATTGCGTGCAACAGTCAATTCAACAGTTCATATGAGGATGTTTGTTAGGATAATTCCAATTAAATCACTCAAACTAAGTTAAATTGTTTTTATTGAAATATTTCTTAGTACAAATATTTAATTTAATTGACAATTAAACTGGCGTTAAGGTGTTGGTAAGAATCGTATTCACCTTGGCATTTTAGATTGATGCTACTTGTATTTTGTGCGACCGACCTTGGATTACCTATGTGACCAGTTGACCTCGTGAATTCGGCATTTTACATGTATCATACTGATGCCTTTCTATAATAGTTGTTTTAATATTTATTATGTACTATGTGTCTTCTCCACAATATAACTCTTAAGGACCTACATCTCTATATGTCCGTTACAGTAAATTGATCACTATGATTAATTACAACCGTTGAATTATTTAACTCGACTAGTTTAACTTGTCTCGGTTCCGAATAGTCGTATTGATAAACACGTGTATTATCCGCCCAAATCATTTGCCATCGTTTTGACGCAAATCGCCGAATATATGAAATTCATCCACGGCGGTGGGGGCTCAGTATTCAACCGTAATCTATGAGTGTTGCCGTGTGTCCAGACGCGTTCAGTGCAGAGCGTGATCGTATTGCAGGCGTACGCGTGCGCGACGAGAACACGGCCGGCGGTGGACTGGAATACGTGCGAATAATAAACGACGCGATCCTTGGCAAATACATAAAGGTTAGTTCTGTCTACACAAAATATCCGTTATAGGTTTGTAATTTCATCCTATTCATAATATCCTATCTTCTGGCAAACAAATAACTACGTGTACTGTGATTGTTTTTCAATGTCAAGTAAAGGCACGATCGCTAGTAGAAAATATTTAAATATTGCGTTAAAAAAAAAAAAAAAAAAAAAAAAAAAACGATATATTTACATTAAAAAAATTGCTTTTCATCAAGATAAGCATTAAACTGTTACATTATGCACCTACAATATTTTTTTACGCTATTTTATTGAATTTATAGAGTTTTATCGTTTTTTATTATTAATATGTATACCCCTGAAAATTGTTAAAAAATATATCACCTCCATGGACATAATTTGGAAGAGCAGAGTTCACAGTTTTTCACTAATCTACAAATGCGTTCGTCATTGATTTAAATCTTATTCTATTAAACTCATACCAACGGATAAATTCGTTTATAAAATTTAAAATGAATACAATTATAACTGTATAGATTTAATTTCTTCAGCTATACTCCAATATTTGTTGAACTTCGGTTTGTTTTATACGATAATATTTAAGTTAATATTTTATACTAATTTCGATGTTAAATTGAAAAAAAAATGTCGTTAATAACAGAATTTCCATAAATGCTACAAACCATCCGACGCAACAGAGACCAACACATTTGTTAGACGATTAAAAAATAAAACATTAAACTTTGCTCTATAGAGTTTCCATCTACGGAGATCCATATTTTAAAGACCCCGTACATGATTAATCTAACTGTGCACTTAATTATCACGTTTGACGTCATGCCTGAGCGATTAACTGAGGTAACTGTGCAGTTCTGATTGATTTTTACTCAGGTATTTGACCTGTTATTATATTATATTGTTATTATTGTTATTATATTTATGTATAATTTCTACTTTAAACTGATAAACTGTGGAGTTAGCTCAGGATATCACACAGTTCATACAATCTTGTCTCGTCTTTCTAGTAGTGAGGAGTGTCACGCGTGTCATATAATTTTTAAAGCGTGGCAATCAGTCTCATACGAGGAGAAATTGTGTCTCTCATTACTGTATTCTGTTTTTGAATGAGGGGACCAACTTTACTTAAGAGTATTTGAAAAACATTGTCGTCCATACATAGTTAATTTCTGAAATCGGCCATTTCCGCATTTTTCAATTCGTTCAATAGATGGCAATCGCTGAACAAAATACTTCTTTGTATAAACCAATTCTTGTTCCAGCGATTAATGTGTATTTTCTTGTGTTCATTTTTTTCTCCAAGCAGCAAAGCTGCTTGCAAACAACACACAGCTGCTTTTATTTTTCGGTCATTCATCATTAAAAACACGAACTGTACACAGTAATAACCGAACGATTTCCATACTACAGTACTACACTGAACTAGAAAATGAGAAAACGGTAGATATAACTGAGAAAAGAATTTCGAGTAGCCTAAACTCCTTCAGTTCAGATAACTGTACAATTTATGCTCGGTTATTTACGCAGATGAACTGCACAGAAAGCTGATCGTGTGTGGGGCCCTTTATGATTTTATTAAGTTTTATTTTTTATTCCTAAGAACACAATTTTAGATAAACATGCAGTGTTTAATGCGGCTATTATTCGGCTTGGCCTACACGAACACAATCAATGCTTCGGAGATCTTAGCAATCACTCCAATACCTGGAACCAGTCACTGGAATTTAATGAGCTCTGTTCTCGAAGTACTGATTGATCGAGGTCATAAAGTTACCATTGTGTCATCGTTTCCGAGGAAAACGCCACACGAGAATTATACTCATATCGATCTATCCAAATCAATGCCGATAGTGATGGCATCACCTTGGGAAACGGTAAAAATAAAATTATTCAAATGTTTTCTTAAATCTAAAACAGTTGCAAATTATCCATTTATCGCCGTACATGTAATATTTTATAAATGATTTTGAAAGAAATTTTTAATTGAACTTAAGTATTTTTTTTCTTAAACGTTTATAAAAAAATAATACATTACTTATACTCACAAAAAGTAAAAATAAAACAACTACATTTACTGTACACCGGTTTTCGATAAAACTGATTTTATTTTTTTGTCACAACTCAATGAACAATTTCAACAACAAAAAATTGAAATTTTCACTGAAATTTCAACAAATTTAAATTATACGTTCCCATAATACGTCCTAAGAATTTTTAGGACCTGGGAAAATTAATTCGAGAGCCCTTTAATCATCACAATAATTTATGAATATAATAATAAACACAATCCAAGTTTTAAAAATGTTGATAAATGTAGTATTCCAAAAGTCAACCAATTAAAGTCATTTAAATACATCGTTTCAATGAATAACACATTTAATAACTTCTCAACAGTGTTTTATCAGTTACCAAATTTAATTTATTTCTTTATAATTTATAAACAGCCGTGTAAAATAAGAATTTAAATGTTGTCGCGTCAATACTTGCGATAACGAATTTTTACGTAACTTTGTTTAAAATAATGTTGTTATTCAAACTCTCCAACAATAAACATAATAAATTAACCAGTTAATTATTAACTAATTAACTACTCAATTTTTCCTATTACTATGCCGATAATTATGTAAATAGTTATCAAATTATACCTGTGAATTTCTTGTCGCAATTGAAAATATATTAAACGTAGTTTGTATAAATGTATGTTAATTTATTATTTATGTTTAAATCGCAAAAAATGATAGTGCTTTTTTTTACCGAAATTCACCGTTAAGTTTCTCAAAATAATTTTCCAAAAACGACGCCCGACAAGGGGTGTTTTGATAAACGTTTGCGACGGACCAGTACGTTCGTCTCGCGAACGTCTCCCTCTTCCGACGTACCGACCGTCGAGCGTGCGGTCCCCCGACCGTCTGGATCACGTACCGCGCGCCGTCGGCTTCACAGGACGAGTAAATGATCGGGGCCGTCGCCGGACGCGTTTGCCCCACAGGTGATCAACGTGTACCGGCCGCCCATCGAGTGCCTGGAGTTCCTGAACGCCGTCCAACAGCAGACGTGCCGCACCACGTTCGAGGACCCGCAGCTGCGCCACGCGCTCTCCACTCGCCGCTACGACTTGGTCATCACCGAACTGCTGGGGTCCCGATGCGACCTGTACCTGGCCAGCCGGTTGGGCGTGCCGCACGTGGCCATCGTGTCCAGCCAGATGCTGACGTGGTACCAGGACTCGTTTGACAGCCCGTCCAACCCGTCGTACGTGGCCACGCTCAACTCGCCGTATCCACGGCCCGAGACGTTCTTGCAGCGCCTGCGCAACCTCGTAAACTACGTCACTGTGCACGCGTACTTCAAGTACGTGGACCGCGGGGCCGCGGCCGTGGGAGCCCGTTACTTTGGACCTGGCCACCCGGACGCGGAGACTCTGCTCCGCAATGTGTCCATGGTGTTCCTCAACACCCATTCCAGCTTTGACATGGCCAAGCCGCTGGCTACCAACTTCAAAGAGATCGGAGGCATACACCTTAAACCGTTCAAACCGTTGCCCGCGGTAAGAATAGAAAACCAATTAAATGTTCGAAAATGAACGGACAAAAAAAAAATCGAACCGTACAACGTGTAATTAGCTTGTAGAGGTACTCGTGAACGGAACGTAGTTGGACCATTTGGTAACGGTTTGTCGCGAGGACGAGACAACGGTCCAGTGATTCGGTTAACGAAAACTTACCTACTAACCTTCCTGCAAGTTTTCGCGAAACGAATGAGACGTGATCACCCGGTCTTTCGAATTGCACATTCGTTTAACGCTGTGTCCGTAAATTAAATGGTACGAATATTTCCACTGCCGGACGGTGATTTCATTGGACTTTTGTCATAGTACCTTCCTGATGAACTTATTATTATTATTTTTTGGTTTTTCTTGATTAAGATTACAAATATATAGTTTATTAGGTTACAGTTGTTGTATCATCACCTAACACATATATTAAATTTAATTTAAAAAACCTGTTTTTCGACTATCCTATTAAGCAGTGCTAGATTGTATTCTTTGTCACTTAAGAAGATAGTCGTCCGGGTCAATTATTAAGTTTTCCTTTACTTGCTTGTTTGACAGTTGAGTGTCCGATAACCAATAATACCTCGTTTTGTGTTGTTATACGCCAAGCCTTTGCGTGGCGTATACGACACAGTCATTTGCACATCTAAACGAAATATTATTATTATTGGATCATCTATTAATTGATTAAAAATATAAATCATTATTTAATCGGATTTCGGTATAGGTAGATCACTGTTATCAATTTATCATTCAAGGTACAGGTCTTTAACAACGGTGACGATGGTAGGTTATTATGTAAGTTTCATTAAAAGCAAAAAAATACAATTTTGCAATTGCATAATCGTTTTAAGTATTATTTGTATGATTTATAATGTGATGTTCAGGACCTACAAGAGTTTATTGACAGTGCCGAGCACGGTGTCATATATTTCAATTTGGGTTCGGTGGTCCGTATGGAAGACATGCCAATCGATATACAAAACGGCATCAAAGAAGGTTTTGCTGGATTACCGCAAAAGATTCTCTGGAAGATTGAGTCGGATCGGTCGACTATCAATTTACCGAAAAACGTTAAGACGAAAAAATGGTTTCCTCAATACGACGTCATAAGTGAGATATCATTGTTTTATTAATTGTTTTCCGTGGCCGCTCTATCATGCCTGGGGGCACGATTAACTGATAACGGTCAAAGAGTTTCGTTATATTCAAATCTCCATACCGATGCCGTGTAGATCATAAGAATAATATTGTTCATAACGAATACGAATACAATTTTTAACCATCGTGTAGGTTTTACGATGTGTCACTTGATTTATAAGCCAATACGTGAGAAAACATAAGTACTGAACGAGTGAAAAAAATATCAAGAAAAAAATTAATAGGTCTTGAACAGTAGATAAAATCTCGATTTAAATAAAAATTTCGCAGAGAAGTAACACTCCTTCAACTGCAGTGACGTGTTTTGCAAGAGCAATACACACACCAAAGAATATTTTGATTCGGAAATTTGTTCGCATATGTTTTCCAAATAGGATACGGCGCGTTCGTATAGGTTACAAAACTTTCTACTGGAATGCTTTCGGCTAAACATTTTAAACCTTATTTTTCATACTTTATAGGTGTTACGTGCTAATTATTCATCTGTAAAAATATAGATTTTACTAAAATAGAACTGCAGTTATTTTCTATATTTGTAAGAAAAAAATGTATTCTAATATTGGGAGAAGTCAGTTAAAATTTATTAATAATTTGTATGGAATTTTTTTTTCACCAAAAATGAATCAAACATAGATACCTAAACTATTACTTTATTCTGGTTAACTTGTGAATAATTTCATAAAAATATGCTTTTTTTTTCTAACGTAGAGTTTAATTTTAATGTATTCGTTATATTATTTGTAAATTACTACTAGGGTAATTTATTTTACCCTCATCTGATATTAATCATAATCAATTGTATTATTTATATTTACTTTTTAATATTCATTTTCTTTTTATCTACAATATTTTCATAGATATATTTTCTGATTTACAAATGTGTGATGGTCATAATTGAGGAAATTGCCTCAATCTTATTCTCGCTGTCAGCTAATTGATAGTATGATACACATGAAACAAAAAAAAATTAATAAATAAACATTTTAAAATTTATCATCGCTTACTCAGAAAATAGAACATTTAAAAGAACTATATTTAAATCAGGGATGGAAAACGTTTTTAAAAATCGTTATTAAACGAAAAAAAATGAAAAACGAAAACAATTAAAAAACGAAAACGAAAAGGTTGCCTCATAAGCATGTAAACAAAACGATTCCTCCGAACCATTCCTTATTTACTGACGTCACCCGAAGTACAAAATTTACGGTACGCGGCGGCGCAAAGCGAAATGCTATCAGGCATTATATGTATTTTTATATTTTATGCTGTAATTTTTTACTAAATTTTATTGATTTACCACTAGTTATTAATGTCAACGTAGTATAATTGAATATTGTATTTTACTACTTGAGAATTTATCGTGTTACCATCAATGGCGTATTTGAGTTATGGTCATGGGGGGAAACTAATTTTTCTTCAATACAAACTTAAAAATAATTTACAGTTCATTTATCTACAGCTTTTGTTTCTGTTGTAATGATAACATATTATAATGATAAGTCTATCATAATAATTTATATTCTTAATTATTTATACATTACATTTTTTAAATAAATCAATGTATTATATTAAAAAAAAATATGAGCCATGGGAGGGCTAATGCCCCCTTCACTTCCTCAAATACGTCCTTGGGTACCATTAATTATTTTTAGCTGTTTTTTTTTATATATATATTATTTTAGACAGATTTAAAAAAATGGAATAAAAATTATGGAACTATGGTTTATTAATTAAATTATTGTCACAGAAATAAAATATGATAATATATACAAAAATATCAATAAATAATGATTATTAAATTATGTCATAAGTCTTTTAAGTTTTTCCAGTCGTTGTAGATTCAATTTAGCATTTCTTTTTTTATTAATTAAGACACCGTGGTAGTTTAAATGCTTCATTCGTATGAGAATTCTTTGCTTAACATAATTTTATACAACAAGATAATATTTTTCAGGCATTTCTATTGGAAATTTTTTTGGTCACTTTTTTACAACTCCTTGTCCTTCAGGAATTTTATATTTGGTTATTTTATTAAAAATTCTTTCTATTCTAATAATATTATTTTTGAATTCATCACTGAGAATAAATAATTCACCATAAGAAAAATGATTTTTCATTAGCGGCATCTCATAATTATGTTCGTGGGAGATTTTTTTGAATTTTGTTCTGTTGTAGAACCAAGCTCTAGAAATTTGAGTTTAAATATCTTAGCTACCCAACCTGCCAAGTACTCAACTGCACCTTGAACCATTTCTATTTTATCATTACAATTCATTACTATTGTCTTAATTTGTATTAAATTATTTTATTATTATTATTATTACCTATAAAATAATATATTAGTATTTCCATCTCGCTTCACCTTGCTAGCATAATTAATGCATGTTGCTACAGTACAACATGACCCACCTTTGGGTTTTGACAATTAAGTAGTCATGTCTTAAATTATTCAATTATTTCAATAATAATCGTGGATTAAATAAAACGTTAGATATTATTACAAAAATCAACATAGGTGAAACTACGGGTCAGGCCAGTCAGCCTTAAGTTAGCCTGACTTAATTCTTACTAAAAATATGTATAAATTATATATTTTAATAATTATTTAGGCATTATAAATAATATATTTATACATGTAAATGTATAAATTTGTACGTTTCATATAATACCATAATATAATATAGTATATAGGTGAAATTGGTATAAATAAGGATTATAATAGAACATAATAAGTCTATTCTATGTATTCGAATAATAAGTCTTATTAGTTATTGTTTAATTTAGACATTTGACGGTTTTTATAATTATGTTATAGGAAATAATAGTTAATTTTACGTAATAATACTTTTTATATTTTTCATTTGGCCTGACCTAATAAAAGTGTTTAGTTTCGCCAATGAAAATCAGGAGTCATAACAAGCACACTGCAACTGAAAGCCAATAAACAGACATGAACTTCAGCTGACGTCATGGTGTGGTTTCCCCCACTCCTATAATTTGATAATTTTTAAATGAGGCAACCTTTATTATTTATAAACCTTGATTGCTGACAAAATATATTAATAGCATAGCACAATAATTAATTATAGTCCACATGGCACATACACATTGCAGTATTGACGGTAAAATTCTATTATTTTCACGACGACGGTCATGGATCATAGTGTAATCTATAACATAGTTGCCGCTTCAATTATAATATGATTATATTATTATCTATTCATTTTAACAGTTGATTAGGAATTGATTTTGTTTTATAATTTATTATACCTACTCATTATCATACTGGTTATTTTAGTTAATCGTAACAATGACTTTATAGAAATCTGAAATAGTGTTTTACTTTACGTCTTTATTTACACTTCATTAATGCACTTTTTAAAAACGTTTTAATTTAAAATTTTGAATTTTATTATTTTCATATAAAATATAAATTATAATTTTGATTTGAAATTTAAATTTTAAATATTAAGAATAATTAATTATAACTTAAGTGCATTCCTAAATTTAGTATATTGAAAATTCATTGTAACTATTATAAGTTAGGTATAAGAAATAAGAATATATAAAAAAAAACAAAATTACCAAAAACGTTATTTGGAAAAAATTTAGAAAAATAACGTTTAAAAGCGTTAAGCAAAAACTAAAACGAAAAAATCAAAAACATTTTCCATCCTTAATTTAAATATACTGAAGTAGTTATCCAAATACTTTGTAAGTTCGCTTTATCCGCTACATCATTGCAGCTGACTCAAGTCATTGTCCTCTTAAATAATACATTTTGCTGGACAATAATCAAAACTATTAAAATGGTTTACCAAATTGATTTTTTATCAGCTTAATCGAAATTTTAATAATAAACGCAATTAATCTGATTAGACATTGGATTTCTTTTACGAATTTAAAAAAAAATTAACAATAATTTTCGATGGAGTTTAAAAAGTTTGAAATTATAATACACATAATAATAAATAACGTGTATTTGTGTGCGATTGTGTGTGTTTGTTTTAAAAGTAAAATAAAAATAGTAGGGTAGATTTTACGTGAGCATAAAATTAATGAGATAAAAGAACAAGTTTCAAATAAAAGTTTTTCAAGGCCATAAATAACACATAAATAGAAAATGTTGTACCGGTAAATGTTCTTATGGTTAGAACATTAAGGGATGGAAAAAGGGTTATCAAATAACAGCGTTCAATCGTGTATAAAGTCTATCAATTTTTTAATACATTTTAATGGCGCATCTAGTATCTCTGCAGGCTCCAATCCATTATGTGTTGTATGATACGTAAAATTGTATTGGAGTGCACACGCGTGTATACAGAAATACGTACACACGTTAATATTATAATGTACTGTTTGATTAGTCCTTAGATCGTAATGCGTATTGTTCTCTTTGAGATCAAATAATATTAAAATAATAGTTTTCTAGTTAGATTTTTTCCTATTTATCCACTTAAACGAATTACACAGCATACATGTTTAACGTACGTGAACATATTATTAGATTATATTTGTATGTTACGTCGGTACGAAATTAATGAACACGCGCACCATCCTCAAGAATACAATAACAAAACATAATTGTGTCGCTAGCGCATGTGTGTGTTCCAACGTTTTTCGTTTTAATCGACGTTTGATTTGACTAATCTTATCGACAGGACACCCGAATGTAAAATTGTTCATCACTCACGGCGGAAATTCGGGCGTCATCGAAGCGATTAGCGCGGGCATTCCGGTGCTCGGCTTACCTATATTTTTCGATCAGCCAAGAAACCTGGAACTATTCAAACATTGGGGCACCGGCCTATTTGTGGATTACAATAATTTTACGAAAGAAGAGTTTGTGGGCAAGATCAAGCGGATACTCAACGATCACCGGTAAGTCGAAACGCTCTTTATTGCCTTACGTGATTACACCTATATTATTATGAAAACGGGGGGGGGGGGGGGGGGGGGGAGGGAAGAGAGCCTGGGAAAAATATTTGTCTATGGACCGCGTGTAAGGTGAAGAGGGCTCAATAGTCGATAGTTTCAACGATCAGTTTCAGTAAAATAAAAATTATAGTATCATAAAAATAGGCTCTAAGTCATGAAATATTGTCAACTTGAACTTTGCATATTTAGATAAATTTTTGATTATAATAAGAAATAAAAAACATTATTTGAATCAATCTAATTGCTAAAAATCAACAAAAAGATATAAGAAAATCAACAAAATGTACAGCATATAGATTTTTGAAAAAATCGAATTTTCGTTTTCATCGTAACTAAAAAAATAATAATTGTAGAGACATAACATTTTCACGGAGTTCTTGTGTAACACCATTGGCTATAGATGGTATAACTTTCAAAATATTTGTTGAGGTATTTATAGACAGTTAAAAAAAAATGCAAGCCCTAAAGTTTAAAATTTAAAAGAAAATGATAAAAATCACAAAATTCCATTAAATTTTATAATTATACATTTTAGAATTTTTAATTTGTTATTTGTACAAGATTTTTCATAAGATTTTCTTTGCACAAAAAAAAAAAATGAAAAGGAAATTCGCAAAATATTTTATAAACGTATGAGCATATCGTTTCAAAGAATATCCATTAAAGAATATTATTTATTTAGTTGCTATCCTATAAATAATAAACATGGCATTATGTTTCTTGATATACTTAGTATGTACCGGTAATTCATTTTTTCGAAATATGTAAATCGTGCTGTTTATGGGCACATAAAATTATCTATTTTCTCAAATTTTAGTTGTTTATTTTCAGCGAAAGTTAGAACTTCAGTTCAATATATCATATTGAGAAATTTGATCTTACTGCTCCGTTGACCATTTTTAGGAATATAAATTAATCCATCCGTCTTCATTCGCTAAGAACCGTATTTTTCGAGAGCAATGGTACATCGTTTACCCATCGTTCACCCGGCAGAACGTGAAATCTCACCTGACCTAGAAGTTTCGTTTGTTTTATTTTTTTTCTCATGACTACATTTTACACAACGGAAATATATCGAAAAAAATTCGTTGAAACGATTACGCTAAACGCATTCGCAATGACTAAAAAACCACGATTGTAGATTATCGAAAGGTCGAATCCGTCCTGATTCTGCTCGATGCGATCGAAAAAAAAAAATAAAAGCAACGTTGATTATGTTTTCGTTTCAGGTTCAAGGAAAACGCGGTGGACTTGTCGCGCCGTTTCCACGACCGTCCGGTCAGTCCTCAGGAGACGGTGGCCTACTGGACGGAATACGTGCTGCGGCACGACGGCGCCCACCACCTGAAGTCGCAGGCCGTGAACACCGTTTGGTATCAGTACTTCCCGGTCGACCTACTCGCGGTGGTCACCGCGGTGGTCGCGTCGCTGTCGTACTTCTTGCACCGCGTCGTCGCCAAAACACTGGCCACCGTTAGGCACACGTTTACTCAAAATTACAGCTAGTTTGCGCACAGATTATTTCTAGTGCCAAACACTCGTTTGCGCGCACATATTCCTTCCCGCTTGTACAGACTTAGGACCGTAGGCGCAATTAGAGCAAACGATTTTGGTGGGCTTCAGTCATTCCTATATATTTTTCAATCACTGCCTCTCGGTAACTTTTTTTCTGTCCTTCACCCCCCATAAAAAATGTGCTTATTAGAAGGTAAGTAAAACTTAAAAATTTAATTTTCTCAAGTTAGTAATCAATTCTTTTTTTTTTTATTTATCAATATAATAATATAAAGTTCTGCGTGGTTTTTTGGGGGAGGAAGCTTTGAATGTTTTTGAGAAGCTCCTCCAGCCTCCCCCTAATTGCGTCTATGCTTTGGTCTGTCAGTGAATATTTCAATGTTTTCACTGGTGTTGTTAAATATATCGTAACATTGACCTAATTTTATCTCCATCAAGATTTTCTGATTGACCTAGTTTATTGATTATTAATTTATCTATTTTATTTTCCTCACAAAATTATTTTAAATTAATTAATAATATGTATATATTTTCATACGCAGATAATTGACGTTTTTTATTTTTAGTTATTAAAAATATTATGTATCGATCGTCTGATTTAAAATATTTTATATCTCCTATCCAGTGTTGTGCTTTAGATAAATTTATCTAGATATGATATCTAGATAAAAACTTCATATCGTTATCTTATCTAGATAAAAAATAAAATTGTCATCTTATTTTCATCTAGATAAAAATCATAGCCACCTAGATAAATTTATCTAGATAATTGATAAAATCTGTACCTAATCATTAGTAATAACTTATCTCCAATTTTATCATTCAATATAAAATAAATAACTAAATAAGAAATTTCATTTGTATATTTACTTGCAAAAATTGGTTCTAAAATAGTTTTACATAGCATTTATTATTAATTGTGAACAATGACAATTTATTATGTATAGACATATATACCTACATAATGTGCATGGGAGATGAGAATTATTTTTGTCATTTATTCATAGTATGGCCCATACGGGGAAGTCTTATACCCGTATTACTATTGTTCTGTGGTATTACAAACGCGGAAAGAGCATTTACAAAAATATTAGAACCAGAGATAACGCACCATAGGTCTAAACTGGTCATTATTCCAGCTGCGCCATAAGTGGTTTATAAATACTAAAATACAGAAATAATTTTCGATAAGAAAATAGCAATATTATAATACGCATTACGCTGTACCTACACACAAATTGATCGTTTTCCATCATCATTCGACCGCTTTAAATTTAATATTTATATATTAATTATGTCCATTGTTCATGTAATCATGTGTTCTAAATAATTGTTATTACCGGACTTCAATTCTATAAATTCGTACTTTGATGTGTCTACATCAGCGGTTCCCAATTGGTGGTCCGTGGACCCCCAGGGGTCCGCGTGTTGATTTTAGGGGGTCCACGGTTGTGTTGTTCTGTAGTGCTATTTTTATTTTATTTTAGTGAAATTATTATCTTTGTAGTAATATGATATTCCAAGTATTTTTGGACTATTGAAACCCGATTATTGCGAAAAAAAATAGATAATCAATTTCATAGAAATAAATATCATTATTATCTTCAATATTACACTATTATTACTATAATTCAAAACGTGAAACCATACTGATTATTTTCTTTCCATTAACCAATATAATATATTTCGGACATATAATTTAAAGTAAATGATCAACATTAGTATTAGTTAGCAGTCTCAGTCATTACTGGTCAGCAATTAGTGCCGTGTGTCCTTTTTTATACATAGCTTACTTGGCTGATGTGTTCGAATACTTGAATACACTAAATTTGAGTTTACAAGGAATTTATGTTGATGTTTTTCACGTTGAGGATAAAATCGAAGCAACTATTAAAAAGTTTGAAATTTAGGCATTACGTGTTGAAAATAACTCTTTCGGTAACTTTCCGACATTACAAGCTTTTTTGGAATCTTCGTGTGAATGTCTATCACAGGAGGTAAAGAGTGAAATATCTGAACACTTGTTGAGCATGACCAAAATATTAAGAAAATATTTTCATCAACCTGACCCAAATAATACATGGATAAGAAATCCATTTTCCTGTGATATTGAAAAAATAAAAAATCTCTCTGAACAGGAACAAGATGAGTTAATTGATTTGGTTACAAATGGAACGATGAAAAATATTTTCAACGATAAAAAACTAATTGATTTTTGGTTAATTGTTCAAAATGATCAAAAGCAACTGGCTGAGAAAGCTTTAAGACATTTGATCCCCTTTTGCAAAACATATAGATGTGAACAAGCTTTTTCTACCTACTGTTACATGAAAAACAAATTTCGTAATAGACTTAATATTGACGCTGATTTAAGAGTTAAAATTTCAAGCATGCAGCCGGACTTAGACGAAATTATGAACAAAAAAGAAAGATTTCACTTGTCTCATAAAGTTTGAAGGTGGTTAATCAAATAATTTTTTTTATAAATATATTATTATTATTATTTTTTTTTTTATGAGAAAGTTTGTTTGTACTATATTACGAAAATGTTTACAAAATTAAAAATTAAATCATATTGAAAATAAATCGTACCAATTTATTTCTCATTTTCATAATTAAATAAAATTGAAGGTAAGTATTTACAAAAAAGGGGTCCGTGGCTTCATACTAATTGGGAACCGCTGGTCTACATAATATTATTGTACAACAAAATAAATATTAGGCGTGAAACGTCTGTTATTTATTAAAAACTTGTATGTACTATACGCAGCGCACTCATCCTCAACGTGTTCAGTGTTATTCGTCAGACTGTCTTCGTATTTTTCATAATTTTGTCTATAACTTTCAATTTTATTTTATTGGTGAAATATTTTATATTTTGAAATGGATCGTTACATAATACAATTATTACCCAAGACCAAAAGAGTTCGCCTACAAACGGATGAAAACGTAGATACCTTATATAAATATCTGGATAAAAATTATTTTATCTATCTATATCTAGATAAATTCAATTTCTACAGTATCTATCTATATCTAGATAATTTTTTTTTTATCTAATCACAACACTGTTTATTTGTGACATAATGACACATACGTGTTAATAGTAGTTAGTTGACTTAGGACATATTCATTTAGTTATTTCTATTAGTGTATACTTTTAATATTTTAAATATATTTTTGATTGAAGATATTTGTTTATTTTTTCCCCCGAATTCCATTTACAATGCACTAGTTTTTAAATTCTTATTATACAATGTAATTTAAAAAATCCTTCGAGTATTATAACACATTCTGTAATAATATATTTATGATTTATTTATTTAAATGAAATATTCGTTTACCGAACAAGATAGTACGTTTTCTTTGTTTATAACTGAAGTGATGTTATATACATACCATACTAGATGTTCATCATTAATCGAAAGCATTAATCTGAGATAAAATATTAGTGTCCGTATCTATAATCGAGTAATCATAACGACGACTGCATTAAACGTGGTGGCGTAAACTGTAAACTTTTTCATTTTAATTTATCATAATAAAAATAAAAATAAAAATATATTCCAATTTGTGTTAGCGTTTTTAAAACAATATGTTTCAAAATATAATTATTGCATTTTTTAAACTGTCTCTACTAGTACCCTGTCTGTCTGTACCCCGGATAAAGATTATACTCAAACATTCGTAGTGACGTAGAGACACCAAAATTTCCACCATTCCATTTGTAGTATGATCAAAGCTAATTGAAAATTCTGTTATTCTACTTTTATTAGCGATCACAATTTACTACTATATGTATAGAGCATTAGCATAGAGTGAATCATATCGATTACGAGTTACCGATACGTCATATTTTTTAGAAGAAAATATAAATGCGTTGCAAAGTTAAAATTTTATAAAACCTTTGGCCGATTCATATTTATTTTATCTTATCCAATTTTACACCCCTTCCATTACTCAGGGCTGTGTGTCGAAACTTTTTGCCCGGAGCGGTAGGGAGTTACCCGAAAGTCGTTCGCACAGCAACAGTACAAACAACAGACGAAGAAAAATCAATAACCTTCTTCCACATCTTTAAAAGGCCGGTAATTAAATAATAATAATAATAATAATAATACCACAAAAGTTGGGCATAAGAAACATATAAAAACTGTAATGAATGAACATTGGTATTTACTTTTATGTTATATTTTTATTATTATTATTTTTTTTTTCTTTTATACTAAAAATGTATTCAATAACGATTATATAATTACATATTTCTTCAGCCAAAAGTTTTGGTTCGCTGACGAAGAAAAAAATTTATTACATGGATGTATAAATTGTCAATAATATACATCTGTTAAACACATTTGTGTACTGATTATAATAGTGAATTATAAATTATTGATACAACATATTATATTACACTGAGTTCCTCAAGTACTATTATAATCATGCGAGAAATAAACAATATAAAAAACCGATTTTAGTTCACAAATTAACTATATTGAAATTTAGTTTATATTTCGCGTGCACTATTTTTGATTATTATATTAATTTGTGAAAATATATTTAAATATAAGTGAGTAACTTTCATTTTTATAACGCAGTTATCAAAGTTTCCTTAAATGTATTATGAACTAGTTATTTATATTTTAAATAATTCGATACAGTATAAACATTTTTTTTTAATTTAATGAAATATGATTTAATAATACATAGCTGTAAAATATTAAAACTGTAAACATTATACTGGTTTAATAAATATATAATTCAAGTTACATTTCCAAATGCTGTTAAAAAATATTTAATTCAATAGTATACATGTTTTGGAAAATAGTCATATATATTTTTTTTCATTTTATTCTGTGTGCCTAATATTTCACTAATAATACATTTTCTGTTTAATTATTAAATGAATATGGAAAATCAAATTATAAATATCTTAATGTAAATTGTATAATTGAATTATATTAATTACGTAATGGATACATAATGTTGGGGTGGACCTTCGAAGAAGAAAAACAATATATTTTTGATCGCGTAATCCATTTTATATGTAAAGTACTGAATCACTAATATATACTAATTTGGACTGAAATAGGAAATGTTGACACATCCCTTATCTGTGCCTCAAAAGCGTTACTTGTCGAAAGTATTTCTATGGGAATTTAATTAATCAACCAACTAAAAAATGTATCATAGAAATGGATAACATCTTAATTATGACTTCAATAAATATGTTTACTACATTTCTTTTAAAACAACTAATTTTAAGGGTACCTAAATAATGTAAAATAGTGTACGGTTAATGAAATGCCATTAAACTGAAATTGAATATGTGATCAAATGTCTTGATTATAATTACGTATTGCGTTTAATTTTACAAAACAAGTGTTTATTAAATCTGCCGCTTTTTGTAACAATCAAATGGAGATATGTAGTTTTAAATTAATTGTCCATCAATTACTATTGGTACTATGGTAATATTGTAATTATTACCTATATAATTAGATCTTATAATTATACTGGTACGTTAATA